AAACATGTGCATTCCTTTGCCATCATCTGATGGTGCTACAACTCCCATCAAAAAGTATAGAGTTGGGGTGGAGATGGCAGGAGGTATACTGGGGACATTGGTGGTGGAAAATGTGCACTGGTGGAGGGATGGGTGTTCCATCATTTTATGACTGAAACTCAATCATGAAAGCTCTGTAACTATATCTCATGATGATTGAATTTTTTTTTTAAGTACAGAGTGGCCAGGGGTCTGGAAAATGCTCAGAGAAACAAATCTGGTAGCATCTCCCAACTAGTGAAGAGTGTGCATTCAGCGTGTGCCTTGGGGAATTATTACTCCATCTCCCACCTGTTTCCATTTGTTGCAGTCTGGTGCTTTCCTCAACTGGCAGAAGTTCCTTAAAATGGTTTTCTCAAATGAGGTGGTGGTGATGCTCCATGCTGGGCAATCTTTTAAACTTATTTGTGTGTGTGTGTGTGTGTTTCATGCTTTTCTTTTGTCAACACCCATTGTTAAGAAAAGTGGTCAGTCTAGATTTGAATGTATATAGATTTGAATCTTCAGTAGGATACCAAAACTTAAATGAAGTTCAGGTTTATAATCTATGGACTTTTTTTTTGGTTTGTTTATTGGGCCACACCCGGAGATGCACAGGGGTTACTCCTGGCTGTGCACTCAGGAATTATTCCAGGGGACCATATAGGATGCTGGGAATCGAACCCGGGTTGGCCGCATGCAAGGCAAATGCCCTACCTGCTGTCTTATCACTCCAGCCCCTGAACTTTTGATGAATCATAAATGACTTATAGATAATTAGGTTGGCAAAGGCCTTAGGAATTTTCTGGGGTGTATTGGGGCAGGGAGATGAATCTGTTTATATAGGGTTTTTTTTTTTTTTGGATAAAAACTTCAGTGACTTGTCAAGTCACGTGTCAGCAGTGTTTGTTGGTTCAAAGGATTCCAAATCTAGGTCTCTCAAATGGTACTCCAGTGTTCCTTTGTTGAAGCCTTTCTGTTTGGCCTTCCTAAAGCAACTTTCTCTGCTAACAAAGGGAAGCTGTCACAAGCTGCTAATAATATAAAGCTCCTTTTGTTTAGTTGGAGCTTTTTTAGTGTCAACAGTTCACCAGGCATTTGATTAGAAAATACTGCACTCTTTGCCTTTTTTATTGCAACATTTATTTTTGCCATTTTATTGAGATCAAGTTGGCCTATATTACTGTCTAAGCTTAAGGTGTCCGGCATTTGTACAGTTTGACTTGTGTATATTGTTAAATGATTACCATGCTAAGGTGTGTTAGCTTCCACATAATATAAGTATAAGAAAAGAAACTTTTAAAAATTATTTATTTATTTATATTGAATCACAGTGAGATACACAGTTACAAGGTTGTTTATGATTGGGTTTCAATTTTATGATGTTCCAGCATCTACCCATTCTCTCTGTTTCTGTCTCTCTGTGTCTATCTCTCTCTCTATCCTTTTGGGCATTATGGTTTGCAATACAGATACTGAAAGGTTATCAAAAAGCAAACGTTTTAGTACAGTGAGTAGGGCTTTTGCCTGGCATGTGACTGACACAGCTGACCCGAGTTCGATTTCTCCGCCCCTCTCGGAGAGCCTGGCAAGCTACCCAGAGTATCTCGCCTGCATGGCAAAGCCTAGCAAGCTCCCCCTGATGTATTTGATATGCCAAGCACAGTAACAACATGTCTCATGATGGAGACATTACTGGGCCTACTCTAGCAAATCGATGAACAATGGGAGGACAGTGACAGTGACAGTGATTAGAACTGATGGGATGTACTCTCTTACCAACTTTCAAATATACCTTGGAGGAATGTTAACTGTAGTCATTATGTTGTATGTTACAGCTTGAGTATTTATTTCTCTGAAGACTTAAAATTTGTACCTTGTAACCATCTTCCTCCAATTCCCCCTGCTCCCACCTCTGCTTCTGCTTACCACAATCTGAGCCTTTTTTAAAAACATGCGATCCAACAGCATTTGTCTTTCTCTCTTATTTCACTTATCACAAGGCCTTCAAAGTCCATTCATGTTGCTGCCACCTTTATTTCTACTCAGCCCCAGCAGAGCCTATAGATGCTCTTCATGATGAAGGAGATATATGTTCCTGATCCTTATTGCTCTCAGTTCTGGGGCCTTGATTATTCATAAATCACTCATTGTAGAAGATAGCCAAGGGCAGGGGTGAATAGGAGGAAAATGCAAGCACTTTGCTTACTGCCTGAAAAGCTGCACTTTCACAGAAGATGGAAAGCACTGTGTTCAGAATGGAGAGCGCAGAGTGCCTGGTGTTTGCTGTAGGTTGCTGCTTCCCGTATCTTTAGGGGAACAGAGGAAAGAAACATTTCTTTCTGATGCCATTCAGAGTGTTCTTCTGTGCTACTGTCTTCCGAGGTGTCTGGGTATTTGGACTTGTCTCCGTGGAGCTCTCGGGTTAGCACAGGTGGCCACACAGATATAAGTCAGGCAAGCAGACATTCATCAGTATTGATGGTGAGCAGGGAAGGTGAGGCAAGTTCCGATCCTTGGAAGGTGTGAGGAGAGTGGTTTGGAGAGGGCTACTGAGGGTGCAGTTCAAACTCTGACCTCAACGAGCCAGTCCTACAGAGTGTGGGTTGTGGAGTGGGAATTCTGGGTAAGAGGAAACACATACCAAGGCCTTAAAGTTGACAAATCAAGTTTGGAGCTCTTTGAGTGAACTGAGAGACTAATGGGAAGGAAGGGCGGGAGAGGGGCCTGAGATGCAGACAGAAAAGACAGGGAGAAGTCATGAACATGCACTTTATTTATCTCTTACTGAATTACTCCGCTGTGAAAAAACTCACTTGCTTTTGTTGAGAGCTGCATGACATGCTTTGTCTTCCAGGTGACTTTTAGTGCCATAACCCCAGTCACGAGAGGAACTCAGATGGGAGAGTGGAGAAGCTGGTTAGCCTTCTAAAGGTTTTGAAGAGTCCCTAGAATTTAAGGGTGACAGTACTTCTCTTACGGGATGGCAGGGCCCTCTTTTCCTTCAGTCAGCTAAGACAGTTCCGGAAGTGACACACGTGACATACCCTCCCCCTGGGCAGCTCCCACTGCTGTGTGCTCTCCCTCCCCTGATGCGGGCTGGCCTGGTTCGTTGCTTATGCCCATGCTGACCTTTGCCTCTTGCTAGTGCTTGTCTTTTAAGCACCGTGTCTCTTTTTGTTCTTTCCTAATCTTGTTTCTGCTTCCTCCAATAGTGTTATTGCTGAAGCAAGGAAGAGGAAAGATTATATTTGTAGAACCATTCACAAAGGAATGTTGAGTCCCTGGTTTGATTTTGTTTTGGGTTGTGGTTCTGGTTTTTGTTATTATTGTTGGTGGTGTTGTTTGGTGGGGGATGAAGGGGTTTCGGCCACACCTGGTGGAGCTCAGGAGTCACCCATGTGGTGCTCAGGGAGTATATGTGATCCCAGGGATTCATACCAGGGTCAGTCATGTGCAAGGCAAGCGCCTGAACCCCTATACTCTCTGTACTTTTGTTTTGGGGTGTCACCCCTAAACAAAAACAGAATGTGAGCAATATTCTTGACACTGCATTTAGACATGAGACTGTATTCAAGCCTTTCCGTTGGTAGATGGCTTGAACATTAGTCTCATACACTTTAACTGTCAGGCTAAGGTTTGATCTTTAGTCAAACGTGATGTAGATGCGTGGCTTGGGACATTTAGAGTGCGGCTATGGCATGTCGCTGTAGCACCTGCAATCCGGTCCTATTGCTAAGGCCCACCTTGAGTATTCATACAAAATAGGATCAAGACTCCAGGTGATCTTGTGGCAGTTCAAGTTTTTCCATAAACTTAGGGAAAAGGATCTGTGATTGGACTTTAGGATCACACATAAAGGATTATGAGCGTATTTCCTTGTATATCCATATGTAAATGTGACAGATTTCCCAATTACATCTACAAGTATCACAAAAACTCATTTTGTGGTGGAGGTACCACACCTAGCAGTGCTCAGGACTTTCCGACTCTGTGTTCAGGGATCATTCCCGGTGCTGGTGGTCAGGGAACTATATGTGATGCTGGGGATCAAATGATAGTCGTTCACAAGCAAGGCAAGAGCATTAACCTCTTTACTATCTCCAGGCCCAGCACAAAAACTCAGTTACAATAAAAGTTTACCTTGTTCTCTGCCTGCCAGTGACTCCATGAGAGTTAATGTGACTTTTGTCTTTCCTCCATGTCTGTAGAGGTTACTGTAAAGGAAGTTGATAATATGGAAGGGTATATTGGTTCAGCATAAGGGCTGCATCCTAGTACAACTCTACCATCTGTGACAGACAGATGGACATGCCTCAGGAGACCAGCAGGAGCCTCCAGCAGCTGCTGTTCAAAGAGATTGGCTGCTCTTAGAATTCCTGCAACTCGGCCATGTGCTGCATCATGGATGCCTGGTGCACGACCTCTACTCACTGAGGCAACTCACATGTAGCTTGAGGAATAAAATGCTCTTCTCGGCCAAAACTCTAGACTAAACTTAAAAATATGAACTGCTATGGTTGCTGCGCAGCTCAGCAGGTTGATACAGCTGATCCTAGTATGTAGTGTGAGAGAAAAATGACAGCGGGTGTGTATTTCCTATCTAGAAGGCTGTATTTGACATATACATTACAATAAGGAGTATAGTAAGTCCTCACTTAAGAAGCCTCTCTTAATGTCAAAAGATTTTGGAAATTGCCACATGAAGTGATGTTCTACCAAAAAAAAGAAAAGCATCAGTCCTCAGCAGACATTGTTTAATTCAGTATTGAGCTTCTTTTTTTTTTAATCCTTGAGAACATACTGTAACCTATATTTGAGTATTTTTATTCTTGATCCTTTGAACACGAAATGTGAGAGTCCTATTCTTTCCCTGGACTTTGTATGCAGAAGTACTCAACATGGAAAGTGATTTGGGTATTTTAGTGCTCTTGGCATGCTTTGAAGGTTAGAGTTTTACCCTGTTCATTGTTTCATTCCAGAAAATGAAGAAGTCAAAGAGACGACTTTACGAGAGCTTAAAATGCTTCGTACTCTCAAACAGGAAAACATAGTGGAGCTGAAGGAAGCCTTCCGAAGGAGGGGGAAACTGTACTTGGTGTTTGAATATGTTGAGAAAGTAAGTAATTGATACTCTGGGGATTTGCCTGATTCTTTCAAAGGTAGTTTCTGAGATTATTCAGAGAAGCACTATTCATGAGAGTCTGCCATATCAATGTAAGCTTACTCAGAGCACTTTAGAAAATGAAAATATTGTCGGCAATCTAGAGACCTGAAATATATTTTTATATATATAATTTGTACAGAGATAATATTAAGCTTAAATAATGAAGTATTGATTTGGCTTTTCAAGTCTTAGACTCTTTATCTAACAAGAACTTCTTGGACTTGACTTATTTTAATTAACCTAAGAAGGCTTTTGAGAAAGAGACAATTAAATCAGTAGTGATAGGGCAGCATGACCGAGGTGTATGGAAGAAACCACCAAATGTGAGACCTTGGTTTTAATGCGATGATGATGGGGAATGAGTGAGTGGACTCTTGAAGCAGCCTTTTGTGAACGGTCAGTGCTTTGCCTTTAGAGAAGAGGTAGATGTGAGCTCAAGAACAGGATTGGGAGGCATTGGAGTAAAGAAGGAAAGCAGCGTTGTTCAGATTACTTGTGCCCTTGCTTTCATGTTATTCAAAAAATTTCCAACTATTCAAACCGATGTCAGCTGCGTGGTGGTAGTTTTAATGATGTCACCCAAGGGTTTTTTATAATAATCAATTGTATATGCCAGTGACTTTCCTGAGGAGCAGCTGACCTATTGCCATCTAGAACTTCAATACTTCGAATAAATGGGAACAAGATGGGTCTTCTAGAGGTTTCCTTAGCAAACAAATAGGCAGCTTGTACTGATTTCCTGAGTATTATCCAAGATTAAGACAGGAAAGATCAATTCCCAAGTGTTTTCTATGTTAGAAATGACACTGTCACCACTGCCACCATTATCATGACAAAAACAAAGCAGTGTTGCCAAGATCACTGACCAGTAATGGACTTTTGAATTAATTTGGCCTCTACAAAGTATTTTTCTAATTAACAAATTATGTAGTTAATTCTTAACAAGCAAAACTTGAAAAATAGTACAAGGCTCTCTGTCATTTTAAAACACTATTTTATGTTTCTTTCCTCAAATCTTTTAAGGTCTGTTGTTTTCTGTCAATTTAGACATTCCCTAAGGGACTTTCTCCACCAGAATAAAACTAAATTTTTTATTCTTTTAAAAGTTTTTTTTTAAAAAAAGAAATACATTGTTGTCAAATCGTATGTTCTTTAAATTAGCTTTCACTTATCAAAAATAATCATGCAGTTTGAAGTTTTCACTGCCAAATAATAAAATCCCGACAGATTTATTTTGATTTGTCTCTTTTTTTCCTGCCGTACTCATGGTGATTGTTCACAATTAATATAGCAACTTAGAATGAGCAAATGGACGGCTTGGAGGGGCTGAGTTATTGCTGCTGGTAAGTGGCACAGCTGATAACTAAATGCCGTTATTCTTAACACAAGACCTGGGATTCGCTCCTTGATTCTTTGATTTTTCAGTAGAAGATGACGATCATATCCCCTCACTAGTGACAGTGCCAAACTATTGACAATGAGTATTAAGAGGCCAAGAAGGAAAATGTTCTTATGTGCTAGGCAATTGTTTTATTTACTTATTTTTTAAGACGATTGTTAAAAGATGCAGGATTACAATTCCATAAAGAAAATGGAAGTTTCTTTCTCTCATGAGCTGGTAGACCAACTTAGCTTCAAAGTAGTGGGATGCCTGATGCCTGGCTTCTGTCTTTTTCTTCACCACATCCTAGGTATGACCCTTATCCTCAGATCAAGGGTCATACCGAACTTGGTTACATGGCCACACTTTTGCATGGCAGAAGGGAAACGTACTCTTCATTTTGGATATTCATAGTCCACTTTCAAATTTTTATTCCAGGGGAGTATGAGGATGAATATTGGGTATCATTCTTCTCCACACAAAGAAACTGAGAATTCAATGTGCAATGAGAGATACAATTTTATTTTTACATCACAAGGCCCTCTTATTTTTCTCTGTGTATTTGGGAGTCTCCTATTTATTTGTTAATTTGCAAAGACAGTTATAGTGTGTGGTCATAAAATATGTAATTTGAACATTTGTTTTGACTCTTGATGTATCAATATATCCACTTTTTATTGGAGGTAAGATTATGGTCTTTTGAATAGTGACCTTTCGACTGGATTTCTGATAGTGTGTTTCCTTGTGTATGTCACACCCAAACTGCGTTAACTATAGCAGCATTGCTCAGTAGGGGTCCGTATGGCTTTCTGTGGGCTCCAGGGTATTTAAGGCAGCTGCAGGTGAAAATCATGTAAATGGGCGCTTTGGCATGTTACTAATTTACCAACCAATAGGAAAAACAAGGTTATAAAGGGGTCAGAGTCAGAAGGAGGTTGAAAAACACTGTCACTGTTACTGTCCTCCCATTGTTCATCAATTTGCTCCAGCAGGCACCTGTAACGTCTCACAACAAATTGTGAAACTTGTTGTTACTGTGTTTGGCATATCAAATACGTCATGGGGAGCTTTCCAGGCTTTGCTGTGCGGGCAAGATATTCTCCGTAGCTTGCCAGGCTCTCCGAGAGGGGCGGAGGAATCGAACTGGGGTCAGCCATGTTGGCTGCTTGCAAGACAAAGGCCCTACCCGCTGTGCTATCACTCCAACCCTGAAAAACACTAAAGCAATGTATTGTGACATCATGAAGTAAAGCAGAACTTAAAATTATTACAGAAACATTTTCAGGAATCCTTTTCACCACCATTGCTTGTTTTTTGCCAGTGTGTTACAGTTGTTTCACTCATATTTTATTAATTATATTAAAACATCTAGTAGCACTGTAGCACTGTCCTCCCGTTGTTCATCAATTTGCTTGAGTGGGCACCAATAACGTCTCCATTGTGAGACTTGTTACTGTTTTTGGCATATAGAATATGCCATAGGGAGCTTGCCAGGCTCTGCTGTGCGGGTGGGATACTCTCGGTGGCTTGCCAGGCTATCCAAGAGGGACAGCGGGATCAAACCTGGCTGCATGCAAGGCAAATGCCCTACCTGCTGTGCTATCACTCCAGTGTTAAAATATCTAGTATCTGTATAAGTAGGTATAGAACATGTGTGATTTATATGATTATTAAAGTGAACATTTATATACAGATAACTTTTTTGAAAGGGAGGGGGGCTACATCCAGCAGTGATTAGGACTTATTCCTGGCTTTGTACTCAGAGATCATTCCTGGCAGTGTTGGGGCCCTGGTCAGCCACATAGAAGGCAAGAACCCTACCCACGGTATGATTGTACGATCTCTCCAGCCCCTATATGCATACAGCTTGACTGCAGGAACAAAATTGTAAGCTCATAGTTGAGTATCAGTTTTCTAACCTTTTGTTCTTAAAACTACTTTATACTCTTAAAATTTGGGAGGCGTACTTAAACTTATTATTCTTGTAGCTTCTAGTGTTTATCAGATTAGACTGATCAATATTAAGATACTTATTAATAAACTCATTATATGTTTGCATAGATAAACCAGTGTCATTCTTTTAAAAGAAAAACTGGTATTCCTCTTCCAAAGAGGCTAGTTTAGCTTGCAACTCAATGGATTTGCCAAGTGTTTTTCCTCAAGGAAATCATCAAACTTGATTATGTAGCAAAATTGCTTTATGTGTATTCCTCATTTTATCATTTGGGCTGGAGCCTTAGCACAGCGGATAGGGCATTTACCTTGCACGTGGCCAACCCGAGTTTGATTCCTCTATCCCTCTTGGAGAGCCCGGCAAGCTACCAAGAGTATCTTGCCCGCACAGCCAGCCTGGCAAGCTCCCCGTGGCATATTCGATATGCCAAAAACAGTAAAAAGAAGTCTCACAATGGAGACGTTACTGTGCCCTCTTGAGCAAATCTATAAACAACAGTGCTGCAGTGCTATCATTTGGATTCTTAGAAAGGCTTATAATCAAGAATTGAAACTTCAAAGATGTCTTTAAAACTAAACTTTTTTAAAACTAAGAGTTTTACATTTTACATTTTTTCACAATGATGAATTCAATGTGCTGATTCATGGTGAAATAATATTTATTTCTTACTACTCTTTGCTATCCATATAAATACTAAGGTAAAAGGTAAAGGTAAAGGCCCTCCCGTTGATCGTCGATTTGCTCGAGCGGGCCCAGTAACGTCTCCATTGGAGACTTTGTTGTTACTGTGTCTGGCATATCGAATACTCTCGGTAGCTTGCCGGGCTCTCCGAGAGGGGCGGAGGAATCGAACTCGGGTTGGCCATGTTGGCCGCGTGTAAGGCGAACGCCCTACCCGCTGTGCTAACTTAGCTTAAAAGGCAAACAGCTGATTACCAATGTATTTTTTACTTTATGGGCTCTTTGCAAGGCGTAAGAAACCTCCCTGCCCCAAGATGCACAGATCAGACATTAAAAAATGCTGTCCTTTGTGGTCATATAGGAACAATAAGCTATATTTGTGCTTTAGGTCTTATTCATTGTCCTTTATAGATAGAGTGGAAAATATTTGATTGATCTGGAAAATCAGTGGAGTCTGGTAAAATGAAGGTTTTACTCTATGAAAATATTTGCATCACTTTTACAATGCTCTTTGATTCCAAACTAGGATATTGAATATTGTTTGGTTTAGCGTCTGTTAATTTAAAAAATTATAATTCTATTATATTTATAATTTATAATTCTATTATAATTCTATTAGTTTTCTATTTATACCAAAGGAAAGATATCTTCTTCATATATAACATGCAGATTGACTGAAATACATATTCCTAATTTATAACTATAAAAGTAGAAATAGGAAAATGGGCAAAAAATATTACTAATGAAAATGCTAAGTAGATAATGGTCCTAAAATATTGGTAGTTTATATTTCTCCCTGGTATAATTTGAAAATCATATGTCTCTCTTCCACAAATTTTCATCTCCTCAGTGGCAAGGCCTGTTCGTGGCAAGGCAAGAAGCTTATGTGTTCTAAATTCTTTTAGTTTTATTCATGCTAAATTAAAAATAGATTAGTGACTTTACTTATTTTACATTTTTGCCTACGGAAGCAATTAATATCTTAATCTAATTTAAACTATTAAAAAACTTTTATAGATATAGCATCGTGAATATTCAATAGTATTTTTCAGCCTGTTTTAATTTTTGTATTGTATATTTTAGAAACTTTTTCCCAAGTCTTCCAGAGATTTTTTTTATTATTAAATTTATTTATTTAGGGCTGGAGCCATAGCACAGCTGTAGGGCATTTGCCTTGCACGTAGCCAACATGGCCGACCTGAGTTCGATTCCTCCGCCCCTCTCGGAGAGCCCGGCAAGCTACCGAGAGTAGTAACCATTTCCCACCACCACGGATCCCAGTAACCCTCCCATCCCCCATCTCCTTATCCCCCCCATCCCACCCTGCCTCTGTGGCAGGGCATTCCCTTTTGTTCTTTCTTTCCTATTGGTGTTGTGGTTTGTAAGAGTTAAGCCTGATTTTCAGGGAGAAATGTTGGATAATTTACTTTCCATTGATCACTTTATATATAAGGAGATGTCGTGCAGCCGCTTACGGTTTGGAGTAAAAGTCCTGGTTCCTGCATAACCGAGCTATGCTTGTAGAGGCTCATGGTCACCTGGGTTCCATCTGGAGGAGGCGGGATGCGGCACACACACCCCATCTGGGACTTCCCGGTGATCTCGGCATTCTCCAGGAGCTGTGGAGTGTCTTGTTTCCTTCCACCCACCCACCCCCACCCCGCCTTTCTTCTCTGTGGCTGTGTGCTGTAAAGATGGCGCTGGGGGGCGGGTTGTGGGCGTGACTTCCAGAATCAGAGGTTACCTGGGAACCAGGGCAGTACCTGCAGTTTGGTGTGAAAGTTCTGTTCCTGCATGCTCGAGCTGTGCTTGTAGAGGCTCATGGTCACCGGGGTTCCATCTGGAGGAAGCATTCCAGAGATATTTTTAAGATTTAAATTTATTGCCAGGTTTTATTAAAGATATGCTGTGCACTATGCTAAAATGACTCTATTTTCTACCTTATATATTAGAGATAATACATTATAGTGTCTTATCTCTATTTTGTATTACTTTTTCCTTGAAATTACCCTAAAATGATGACTGAAAGGTTTTAGAGAGTGAAAAGTGCATAGTGTTATTATTTGGGACAGCATTAGGGAGTAATAAAAATGGAATTTCTCTTAACAGTGGACCTTGGTTTAATACAATATATACTTCTGCATGAAAAAGGTTTTAAAGCAGAACAATAAAAATGCATACTGTGTATTCAGTGAGTTATCCAAGTTGCTTTATAAAATTGTTATGATTTATGGACCTACTTAATTCTGGAAATTAATGGTTCCCTATTTAATTTTTAGAATATGCTTGAATTGCTGGAAGAAATGCCAAATGGTGTTCCACCCGATAAAGTGAAAAGTTATATCTATCAGCTAATCAAAGCTATTCATTGGTGCCATAAGAATGATATTGTGCATAGAGGTGAGTATGGGAGTTTTTGGAGTGGAAAATATTCAAACGCCAAGTAAAATTAGCAATAAAATATTTCATCTATTACAGTGTGAAGAATACTCCATAGGCATTGCCAGTCTATATAAATTACATACAATTCAGAAGTATAGCCTATAGGACATTATTTACCCTCCAAGCTTCTTCTTCACCAAAAGAATGCACTGCAAATTTGAGTATTATAGTACGTTCTCTATGTTTGTATAACCACATCCTCTCCTAAATATAGAACATGCAGTGAGATTGAAAACAAAACAAAAACAAAGAGAGAACCCTCAGATGTTTACTTTGAGTCTTACTTGAGGAAAAATAATACAGTGGTACCACCTCCATTGCCTTTTTGTGTCGTGCTGGTAAACCAGCTAATGCAAAAAAAACCTAGAATCAGGTGTCAGAGGTGGTCCTTAAGTTTCTGACCCCCACTGACAACCACCATCTCTGGTATGCACCATCACCTTCTGCTTTTCCTTACCTATAAATGCAATATGTCCATTGTTTGCAGGTTGCAGGCATGATCAGTCTTGCATGAAAGCCACGATTATTCTTCCATGAACTGTTTTGTTTTATCCTTTAAAATAAAGATGGTTTATAGCAATGAAAGAGAAATGACTTGCTGGGCACTCATCTTTGACATTATGCCATTTATCTTCTCCTGGTAATCTCTCTTGCATTCCAGAGTTTTATCGTAATGGAACATAAATTGATAAAATAATGAAGCTAAAGGAATGTTTATCAGGAAATATTGCAATATCCACTTCTTTGAATTACCAGATAAATGAACATATTTTAATGTAGCTATTCTATCTAGCACACAAGAATATCCCTCTAAGAATAGTCTCACTTTAAAAATAGCTGAAAGATTGTATGAGGAGTGCCAGATCCTATTATTTCTAGAAAGAGGCAGTTTATATTTCTGGTGTTGATGTGAGTGTTATGGAAAGATCACCATGTCAACTGAGCATCTAGTGTGTTGCTAAAGGTTTTAATAGCAGTACAGTTTAAGGATGTTAACAAGGGACTGATTTGGGTGCGATTTCTTAGTGATACTATTATTTTGTTACGGGTATAAAATGATTGTAAATTAGCAGTAGAAACCATGCTTCTGGATATTGAAATCAGCAGAATTTACTCACCTGCCATGTGATACAGCTGATAAGTACTTTAAAAATAGAACTGTGAGCTACCTCCCATTGGGGAATTTTTTGTTTAGCTCTGTTTCTCAACTCCTACTTCATCTTCACAAGAAACATGGAAAACATGAGGAATTTTATCTTGACTCATCTAGTACAGGTTCAGCGTTATACATTTATAATTGTGACTCACACTGCAAAGCTAAAGAAACCATATAAATAGAGACGTGATATAGAAAATCTTAACAGAAAATTTATCTTATATGTATTTTCCCAAATTATAATCCTAGCTTTCATATGTATTTTCAAGGCATCTTGTTGTGAATGTGAATATTTTTATATTTTAATCTCCAAAATTTGTACTTCTTAGTATTTTGTGAAATAATTTTTTTAAACTATGTCAGGTTCAATCATTCTTGAATTCCTTTCAGCGGTCTAATTAATCTTCTAAGATTTGAGCAGCAGGCAGTTTTGAAATGGAAGTCTGCTTGTTTCTCAAAAAGAAATTAATAGAAACTTCAATATATGACCATAAAATATGTTCCTAAATTATTCTGAAGATTTCTAATGTGGTATCATTATAATGATCTAACAGCGTGAACTAGCAGTATATGGAACAAAAATTAATACTTATTTTTTAATCTTGATCCTCCAGATATAAAGCCGGAAAACCTTTTAATCAGCCACAATGATGTTTTGAAATTATGTGATTTTGGTAAGTTAAAAAGAAGTTTGTTATGTGCCTGCCAAGAGGGCAGACTGGGGGGTTGGCAGGGACCCTGGGGACACTGGTGGTAGGATTGGTGTCACAACCTTGGGTGCCTGAAATAATTCTGTTATGAACAATTTTTTAAATTATGGTGACGAATTATAAATAAATATATATATAAATAATTTTTAAAAAAAGATTTGGGTATGCAAAATCAGGCAAACCTGATGCTGCTTTTTTTCGTTAAATAATAATTTTATTCGTTAAATAACATACTATAATGGTTTTGAAAGATGGGTAGAAATTTTTGCTAATTTGAATGCAAAAACTAAAATTATATTGCTTTTCAGTTTTAGGAAACATTGAAAGTGAAATGTGTTTACAACAGTCAGGAAAGCCTCTATATTAGAAATGAGAGTTTTTAAAATACAGAATTACTATAACTAATTAGTAGCTTTTATAGACAGAGTGACAATATTTTCTATGTTTTGATTTGAATTACCTGGGAGCATTCTGTTTGGTCATATACTGGAAAATTCATTAACGAAAGAGTGCTTTTTACTCTTCATAGTAGTGCCTACCAATTAAAAAAAATTATCATGTAATTTTTTTTAATGGGGGGGTGGGCCAACATATGGCAGTGCTTGAGGAGTGCTCCTGGCTCTGTGCTCAAGGACTCGTTCCCAGGTGTGCTTGGGGGACCATGTGGTGCTGGAAACGGAACTGGGGGCGTTTTTAAAATAAGAACTAATTCATAGAATTGATACATAAATATGCATATGTTTATAAGTCCAGTACTTAATGACCCCAGAAAAAGAATTTTCTAGGAAATAATACTGTGACTTAGCATAAAAACCTCTTAAATGTTTAGGCATAATCATGTGCCTATGTGAAAACACAAACGTATTGTATTCACAGAACAGTTCTGTTTATATAAAGTCAAAAGTATTTTTTAATTTTGGTTGACTTTTGGCCATACCTGGCAGTACTCAGGTCTTACTCCTGGTTCTGTGCTTAGGAATCACACCTAGCCGGCTTGGGGGACCAGAGGGGGTGCTGGGGATTAAACCCCGGTCAGCTGTGTGTAAAGCAAACATCCTACCCACTGTACTGTTGCTCCAGCCCAGGAATTTTTAGAACAATTTTATTTATTCCCTTTAAGTATTCAAGTGAATGAGACTAGTCATTATTTATTGATGTATAATATTTCAACTCCTTGTTGAATGTATAGAAAGTTTTTTGGAGTGGTGTCACACCCAGTGCTCAGTGCCTACTAATGCCTCTGTGCTCAGGGACCACTCCTGGTGGACTTGGGGAACCACATGGGGTCCCCCAAGGATTGAACCCTGTCAGCTGTATGGAAGGCAGACGCCGCCCCCCCCCCCCCGCAACTACACTTGTTGCTCTAGCCCCTGATTAAGGGAAGTGTTTGAGTTGTGCTCTTCTAGTAGAAAATTATACTGTTTCCCATATATAAAGTTCTATACTAGAGGTTAAAAAATCATTTTTATTAAAATAAAATAAAACAGAAGAGTTTCATGTTATGAATTAGGGCGCTTAGGTCTTAGGTCACTTTTTAAAATTATACTTTTTCTTGATTCTTATGCTGAAAAATAGCTTGGTTTTTAAAAATGTCATTTCTTATATAGTCAAATATAATCACAGATACAATTTTGGTGTATAAATCTTAATGTATAAATCAAAATGTATCTTTCTTAAATTACACAAGAAATGGAAACTCTCTAAGAATTCACTTTGAAAAAAAAAAGAATTCACTTTGTAGTATGATGAGTTTTAGTCCATGTAGCAATGATTTACATGATATTTTCAAAGAATTTTAATACTATCATGAACTTGCTTCCTTGAGGGAAAATGTTTTATAAGACTTGATTTTGTTTATATTTTATGATAAGGAACATTGTAAAGAAGCGTTTTGCTATGTCCTAAATATCTTAAGATGTACCAAGTAGAATAAAAAGGAACTACTTGAAGGGTGTGTTTAAAAGCTTTTGATTGCGGGGGAGAGAGAGAGTACAGTGGGTAGGGCCCTTGCTTTGCATGTGGCCAATTTGGGTTTTATCCCAAGCGCTGCCAGGAATAATGCCTGAGTGCAGAGCCAGGAGACATTGCCAGGTATGACCCCAAAACAAAAATTATCATTTTGATTGGACTGAGGATGTGGCATTAGGATAGAATACATGCTTCACAAGTGTGACACCCTAGTTTCAATCTCTTATCACATGTTTCCCCCTTCCAGAATTATCCCCACATAAGAATAATTTTGATCTTGGCCTTTTTCAGTGTTTTTTTTTCTTTTCTTTTTTTTTTTTTTTTTTGCTTTTTGGGTCATACCCGGCGATGCTCAGGGGTTACTCCTGGCTCATGCACTCAGGAATTGCTCCTGGTGGTGTTCAGGGGACCATATGGGGTGCTGGGAATCGAACCTGGGTCGGCCATGTTGGCTCCGTGCAAGGCAAACGCCCTACCGGCTGTGCTATCGCTCCAGCCCCTTTTTTAGTGTTTTTTTTAGCCTTATTCTTTTCAGAAATAATGTCTGTTTCTGACTTTCTATCCATAATTATGATTACCTCCAATACTGACTGAGACTTTTTTTTTAATTGAATCATCGTGAATACTGAGACTTTTTTGCTTCTTCGATACCCTTTACTATGTATCTATAGTTCCATGGCTTAGAGATTTACTTAATCTCCAAAATTAATTTGTAAAGCCAGTTACAATAGAGATGCCCGTGGAATGTTTAATACAGGGAGAGAGTATCCCTGGTTTAGCATCATTGCTTAAAGAGAAGATCATTTTAATGCTTCGGAAGTTTTGTATGGCAGCTCCACATCGTTGACTTTGTGCCCTGTGCAGCCCGAGTGAGGGCTTCCAATTGTTTTCTCTCAGAGCATGTAGCTCAAACTGTCTAGCTTGAAGAACTCCATTAAAGCAAACAAGCTTTTCTCCAAAATGTATCGCACAAAGTTGATTAATTGCATTTAGGGGGTTTTATTTTGCTGTAGCTATTTTTATTTTTCAGTGTTTCCTTTTAAGAAGCACTATTTCGCTTTTCAGAACTGACATATACCTTCATTTTACCCCTAATTTTAACATTTTGGTTCTCTGTAAATGTTCACAATGAACCTGTCACTGCACTTGGTGAGTGAGATGGGTAATTAACTTAACTGCTAGCTTATATTGTAGTCCCAGACCTTTTGAAAGGATTTCAGGAGAAATAGTGATAAAGTCTGAAAGTAAGATAACCCTAATAAACTTCTAGTCACTTAAGAGATAAAATACTTGTAGCTTGCTTTGATTTCATTACTTACAGCCATTAGCGATTTACATAATGTCTAGAAATGAAAAAGAACAATAGATATGTATAAGTATGCAATAAATGCTCATAAGTATGGGATGATTTTGAAACTGAATTTTTTTTAGCTTAGGGGAAAGATTTGGTTTTATAGATAATACATCATTTGTCTTAATTGACACGAACAACAAACTAACTTTTGTAAGTAAAAACGATATCATTTATTTTAAAACAATTCATTCAATATCAGCATGTTCTTCAGATGCTCCTTTAAAATATTACTAGGGGGCCAGAGCAATAGTACAGTGGGTAGGGCACTTGCCTTGCATGCGGCCAACCCAGAATTGATCCCTGGCACACCAGATGGTCTCCAGAGTTCTGTCAGGAGTGATCCCTGAGTATAGAGCCAAGAGTAAGCCCTGAGCACAGTCAGGTGTGGCCCTAAAATGAATAAATAAGTAAGTAAAAATACTACTAGCTCTGTAATATTTTGCCAACATAAAATATTTCTTTTTCCACATTACACAATTGGACTTGACTTTGCTGTCTTTCAGGGTTCGCGCGCAATCTCTCCGAAGGCAATAATGCTAATTACACAGAATATGTGGCCACCAGGTGGTATCGGTCCCCAGAGCTCTTACTTGGGTAAGTCATATTCTGAAATAGAGTGACATTCTACGTGTTTTTGCTGATCTGAAATTGTTAGCAGTTAAAATTTGTTAATTGATATTTAGCTACTTCTTACAGTATACCAAGCCCAAAAACAATGGCACAGATCAGACATCATTCTTACTCATTCTTGATTCTGGTGCCAGCAGTTTGAGTTCATAGGGTGACTCTCCTGCTGCTCTTGATCGCAGTGGTTCATGCAGCCACAGTCAGCAGGTTATCTGGTGCGTGGTTGGTTTAGGGACCTTAGCTGCGACAGCCCATCTTCTGTTCCATAGGGACTCATCTTCCAGTAGGCTAGTCCAAGTTTATTCTCATTACAGAAGATGTCAAGGTGTTTTTTTGAGCTTCTGTTAGCATGACTTTTACCTCATTGACTAACATGTTTTATGGCCAAACCTCAATTCAAAGGATGGAGAAATAACTCCACTGTCCTACTGCCTTGTTGGGAGTAGAGGCAGGGTCACACTACAAAGTGGCAGGTGGACAGAGAGCGGGACAGGGGAGTGGGGAGGGGGTGTATATCAAGCCTTCCACATTAGAAAGGTAAGTGTGAACTGAGTTTTTACATACTGCCTTATCCGTTAGTTAATTCTCTTATTCTTGTATTCATTCAGCAAATCCTTGAGTATGTTTTTTGTTTAGTCATCTTATTAAACACATGATATAAATATTGAGTCAGTTGCCATTTTTCTTTGGAACAAAGTAACTCCTGTTTGATGAAAAATGGCTATCCAAAGGAGCACTGCATTGATGATGTTCTCAACAACACCTCCACTTGTACCCTTCTACTTTCAAAGCTCTTTCGTTTGTTGGCACCAGAGACTGATCTTCTCAATAAGGTTCTTTTTAATATGTTCTTCTTTAGAGCCTAAGAGGAATCTGATATCCTGATTTTCATTACTTAATTTTATTAATTCCCTACCTATCCTAGCCCTAGTATTTTTCCTAGATGATATTTCCTCCTTTCTGATTATGTGAGAATGGAGAAGGAGGGGTGAAAAGATAGCTCAAAGGGCTAGTGAATATGATTTGCGTGTAGGAGACTGAGGTTTGATCCCTGGCCTTTCATGGTCCTGTGAGCACTGCCAGGAGCCAAGCAATGTACCAGGAATAGCCTCCGCAAATAAAATTAGATATAGTAGAAACAATGATTGGGGCATGAATGGTAGGTTTCATTCCCTTAGTGTATAGATGTATAGACATCTCGGGTTCATGGGTAGTTTAATTTTTAAAAGACGTTTGATAGAACATAAATAACTCTTCTCAAGGTCATGATGATTCTATGTTTAAGTTACTCACCGATGGTTTATTTTGATGTTAATTTGCTTCCCAATGTCTACCAACCATTAGGCGGTAGTTCTTGATTCACTGCTGACCTAAAACCTATGAGAATTATTAGTGTCTGTTGTTAATTTTTTTAACATAAAAACTCGCTTTTTCCTGGAAAACAAATGCTGTGAATTAGATCATATTAATTCTCTTTGTGTGGAAAGATTTTAGAATTTCTATGCTGGTATTTTAATGAATTTAGGATTGATTTTTATCCATCTGTGTTTCCTCTGTACATGTCATACCTCTGACCAGACTCACTGGGATACTTTGTCCATTTTCTCTTGCGAGGGATTGGGATTTTAATCTACTGAACAGTATTTATCAAAGAAGAAATGCATATGAAATTGATCTTTCTTAGAACCCTATTGTGGAAGGGACAGTTCATTCTGATGATGGCCTTCTTGTAGAATTTCACCTAATAATGCCTATGAGAAACTGAAGTCACATTTAAAGATGTGTGAGAGCTACAAAAAGTAGAGACTTCAAACAATTTGACCCAAATGGAATATTGCTAATGAAAGGATGTCAAGTACAATTGAAGATCCATATTTGTGTAAAAATCACACTGAAATAAGTTAGTTGATTAACACTGAGAGTTTTACATTTTTGTACATTCTGAAAACTTTGTCCTTGACATTCAAAATAGTTCCAACTGCATGAATTATTCAAATCAGTTGACAGAAGAAAATAGCATGTAGGTTTTTCTATGGGTTTCTCCATCTAGCACAAGTTTTCTCTCCCTCATACGGCTATTGAAGATCAGTATTCTCGCTTTCCCAACATGCTGCTCCAAAAATCAACATGGAATTTCCTGATGGTCTTTAGAGTCTCATGGAAAGGCAATGAGATAAATAAAATAATGTTTATTGTTATGGTGATTTGTTTCACAAGTGTATCCTAATGACATTCTAGGGTTCCATTCCATTTTTATCCAAGATACTTCATTTTGACTTTTATCTTCTTAAAGCCTAAATTATTTCCATTAGAAACTTAAGAGACTATGGTTTCTTAATCTGCCATAAATAAGTTGACATGTCAATTGATACTGGGATACAACACTGTTTCATAAATATCTAAATCTTCATGTATAGTCATTTATGATAGTAATGCTTTCAGAGACCTGTGGTAAACTCAGAAGAGAGATATAAATGCTTAAGTAAGCAGAATAAATGCTTTAAGGGAAATAACTCTTTTACAAGCCCATACACATAGGGTACAAAAAATTCAAGTAAATAAGAATTTAACACAATTTTAGCTATTAGAAATTGCTACTGTATGCAATGTATATGTGGTCATGAGTTAAATAATATTCACTTTTGTTTAAGAGAAAATGTAAGTCAGTGGTGCATTTTAATATACTGAATCCTAATAGTAGATAAGATATAACTTTTTGACATTAGGAGCTAAAGGATAATTATCTGGAAGACTAATTTTTTTGGAAACATTTCATTTCCAAGTGAGATGTTAGTTCATTAGATGTGTGTGCTGGTTTAGGGTTCTTAAAGGAATTCATGTTCAAAATATACCTGAATGTGAATAAAGTTTCAATGCAGTATATACTACCAAATTTGTAATTAAACCAATGACTTCATTACCATAGGTTTATTCCTTGTGTTCCGAATTTTTACTTAGCCACTATTCTTTTTCATTCTGCCTCACCTAGCACTTTTTGATTTCTTATACGAAAGGCTTTAAATCATGAATCTGTTCAAAATAATTTAGAGGTTATTACAATGTATTTCTTCTGTTGCCAAAATAATCTCTCCTTTTCCTTTTCAGAGCTCCCTATGGGAAGTCTGTAGATATGTGGTCGGTAGGCTGTATTCTTGGGGAGCTTAGCGATGGACAGCCTTTGTTTCCTGGAGAAAGCGAAATTGACCAACTTTTTACTATTCAGAAGGTGCTAGGACCACTTCCATCTGAGCAGATGAAACTCTTTTATAGTAATCCTCGATTCCATGGGCTCCGGGTAAGAGGCTTTGCTAGACAACTCAATATGGGATCAATATAGCAGTATTGAAATTATTTATAACAGAAAAGAATGCTAAGCTATCCATTAAATACAATTCCCTTTCTCAATACAATGTCTTTAATCCCTACTGGAGTATCCTTGAATCTTATATAATATTTATGAAGTTTTCAAAGTGATCTGAATTTGCAAGTGGGAGTTGCAAATGTTTTTCCTAATTTCTAAGTTCAACTTTTTGAAATCTTTTCTGGCATACATATTACTGCATTCTGAATTTTGGTTATCTTTGAATGTTTCTTTATCCAAAACAGTATGCATCCCCCAAATATATAAATATGGATGAATGGCTGTTGCTTATTTGAACAAATATATTTTTAGGGATTTGAGGACGACTGAATACTACATTCTGCAGATCTGTAGGTGTTGGTTTAGCCAGGTACTTCTTGTCTGTTGACAATAAAATGTAAATCTTCTCTTCAGATTAATCTAGCATATTCTTTTGAGCAGTCTTTCGTAGACTTACTAATTTTGTATAAAATGCATTTTCTGAGAATATGCTAAAATAGTCTTAAAGTAAAATTTTCCCCAAATAAGGAACTGCCAACTACAGAGACATCCTCCTGGAGTGGCCAGTTATATATTGTTGCTGCTTCTCTCCCTTGTCTGCTTCAGTAGCTGCTTTCTCCCTAGACTGTGCCATCTGCCATGTTTAGGATAACATGCTAATTGGTGGCCATTGTAGGAACCGTCAAATTTGCTCATCGCCACTTCTGTTGTAACTTTCTTTGCCTTAAATGCAAAAGTCTCAGATCTCTCTCTCTCTCTGTCTCTATTCTCTCTCTCTCTCTCTCTCTCTCTCTCTCTCTCTCTCTCTCTCTCTCTCTCTCAACCTCTGCAAAGCACTTTATTGTTCCCTTTGGCTTACTACAACTCAATTAATTTTAATTTTTCAAAAAAATATTTTATGGGGGTGCCAGTGCGTTAAATAGTGCAATGGGTAGGACACTTGCCTTGCATGAGTTGCTGACCCAGGATCCATCTCCTGCACCCTGTATTATCCCCCCAAACCCTGCCAAGAGTGATTCCTGAGCTTAGAATCAGGAGGGAACCCCAAGTACTGCTTTGTATAGCCCAAAAACAAAACAAAAAATTAAAAATGAACAATGTTTTATGGGAGTTAAATTGCATTATTTGTTGCAGGTGTGTATCAACCTCTGTATTAAGTTCATCACTAAGAGTCTATTTCTGTCCTTTACCAATTAACTCCTTTTATTTGATGATTTCATTTCTTGCATCTACCCTGTTTTCTCTTTTCATTACCACTAATTTGATCATATACTCTAAAAAATAAGTTTAATTTAGTTCATCTGTTTGGCTTTTATGTACCCCATATATGAGTGAAATCATAAGGTGTTTGTCTTTCTCTGACTTTTTTTACTAAACATAATGCTTTCTAGGTTTTTCTGTGTTGTTGCAAATTGTAGGTTCTCTCCAAGCAGTGTTCCATAGTGTATTTTACAAAAAGCTCACCTTTATTCAGTCATCTGTCGGTGGTATTTTGGTTGTTTCCAACTCTTAGGTATTGTAAATAATGCTGTGGTGAACATGGGATTATACATTGAAATATTTGAAATTATTGTTTCAACATTTTTTATTAAATACAGTGAGTTAAGTTCAATTAAAGGCACTTCTAGTTTTAATTTTTTGAGGAACCTCCATCTTGCTTTTCTATTGTACCAATTTATATCCTCACAACACTTGTTTGTTTGACTTTTGAGCCTTGCCCAGTAGTATTCAGTGGCTACTCCAAGTTCTGTGCTTGGTGGTCACTCTGGCAGTACTTGGAACCATGTGGTACTGGGGACTGAACCCGACTGGGTCTGCTGCATGCACTCAGCCCATTGAGCTATCTCTCTGGTCCCAACTTGTTTCTTGTCTTTTGGACAATATCAAAAACATAAAGTGATGTCTCATTGTTTTGATGTCTCCTTTGGAAAACTATCTATTCATATCTTCCGGTCCCCTATTCATTTTTCTGTTGAATTATTTGCTATTTTTGTGGTTGAATTTTATAAATTCTTTGTTTATATTAGCTATTAACCCATTGTCACATGAACTCGATATGCCAAAACTAGTAAATACAATGGATCTCATTCCCCTGACCCTGAAAGAGCCACCAATACGGCAGCGTTAAGAAGGATGAGGAAGGAGAAGCTGATAAAATCTCAGGGCTGAACTAGGCTGCCAAAACGAAGAAGGACAAAAATGATGGTCTGTACTTTCAATGCACGTACACTGGCATTGGATGCATCCATCGAGGAGCTGATGGTGTAAGCGTGAAACATCAAGTACGACATCACTGGTCTCACCGAGATGAGAAGGCATCAATCACATCATGCTGTTTTCAACACTGGAGAAGAACTGTTCCTCAGAACATGCAACAAAAGAGGTGTCAGTGGTGTTGGTGTTCTTGCCAACACGAACTTGATCAGAAACATTGATTCATTCGAATGCCTAACAACCCGAATCAGATGTTTACACTTGAATAGATATGGCTCACTGCCGGCAGTTTCTGTCTTGGTTGTCTACGCACCAACATCCAATTGTGATGAAGGAGAAATTGAGAAGTTCTACATGGAGCTGGAGAGGTTCTATAAAGAAGATCACACCTTCTCCAAGATCATTGTCGGTGATTTTAATGCCAAGATAGGACCAAGAAGATCAGCCGAAGAACTCCACATCGGGACCCATGGCCTAGAATGGAACGAACAGTGAGAGACTGTCTGAGTTCATCATGTCGACCAAGACCATCCATGATAACTCACACATTCCAGAAGGCCGAATCTAAACGTTGGACATGGGAGTCTCCCTGTGGAAGTTTCTACAACAAAATTGACCACATCATATTCAATTGACAGTCTTGCATGACCAATGTCACTGTTGTCCCAAAATTCCAAACGGGATTGGACCACCATCTCCTTCATGCAAAATTCTACTTCACAGAGTGGGGAGAAAGGGCTGCAAAGTTTAAGATTACTCCCAGAACGAACACCAACTGGAAGCTCTTTGGCACTATTGCGGCAACATGGGAAGATTTCGTCATTGACAACATTGACAAGGAATACGATCGACTGGTCCAGCACCTCCATGATTGTTTGAAGAACGCCGAGAGAGAGATAGGCCCAAAATGACGCCTGTCTTCGAAAACTCTCGAGCTCATTCGCCAACATGGCTTGGTGCAAGCCTCAGGCAACTGCAAGCAAAGGTCCAATCTCGCAAAGCAGTGCAGAGAAGCGATAAAGGAAGACCTCAAAGAGAGAAGAGCAGCAGTGCTGGCAGATGCGGCAGAAGCCGGGAAAAGCATTCACAACGCCTGTCTGTCCTTCGCCAACTACAAGACCAAGATGACAGCCCTTCGATGTCCTGATGGATCTGTCACATCTTCCGGAAGGGCAATGGAGAAGATTGTCCATGACTTCTGCTCGGATCTCTCTGATAGCCACGTCCACCTGCCCACATACCAAATTCTGCAGGATGGATATGTCATTCCCAGCATTCTTCCTTCCGAAATCTGATATGCTATTTCATCGGTAAAGAAGCAGACAGCACCCAGCCCAGACAAGGTCAGACCCGAACACCTGAAGAATCTGCTGTCAGTACTCATCAACACACTGGCTTGGCTCTTCACACACTACCTTTCTGAATGCAAGATTCCTTCCCAATGGAAAACCAGCAGGATCGTACTACTATACAAGAAGGGAGACATCCACGACATTGGCAACTATCGCCCTATCTGCCTGTTGTCTGTCGTCTACAAGCTGTTCACTTGAGTCATCCTGAATAGGATTGGCAGAACACTAGATGAAGGACAACCATGCGAGCAAGCCAGTTTCCGAAAAGAATTCAGCACAATCGACCATATCCACACGGTAACCAAGCCCATTGAGTTTTCTTGGGAGTTTAAGATGCCACTCTGTCTAACGTTCATTGATTTAAAGAAGGCCTTGATTCTGTTGAGACTGAAACAGTCATCAAAGCCCTAGCCAAACAGGGTGTTCAAACTCAATACATCAGGATCGTCTGTGAGCTGTATTACGGATTCACTACCAGGATTTCACCATTCTACAAAGAAGTAATCATTGATGTCAAGAGAGGGGTTCGGCAGGGTGATACCATTTCACCGAAACTCTTCAGTGACACCCTCAAGAACATCATGTGACGACTGGAATGGGAAGGAATGGGAGTGAAGATAGACGCACCTCCACTTTGCTGATGACATTGTTTTAATAACACCAAACATCAGCCAAGCAACACAAATGCTGGCTGACTTTGACCATGAGTGTGGAAAGGTCGGACTACAGCTAAATCTCATGAATACAATGATTATGAGAAGCAGTCTCTTTCCTGACATTCCATTCGCACTCAATGGGATGAACATCTCCGAATGCAACAGTTATGTATAACTAGGTCGAGAAGTCAACATGACGAATGACCTGGCACCTGAGTTGAGCTGGAGGAAGAGAACGGCTTGGAGCGCCTTCAAGAGTGTCGAGGACAAAGAATGTCTGGCTCCGGGCACATCTCTTCGATTCCACTGTTCTTCCTGCATTGACATATGCCTCAGAGACCTAGGCCCTATGAAATTCAGGTCTCCCAAAGAGGAATCGAAAGATCTATGCTTGGAGTATCACACTTCACTCAAATGAGAGAAAGAATCTGGAGTTCTGACTTCCATCGACGACCAAGAATCAGGGATGCTGTCTCATTTGCCAAGGCATCGAAAATCAGATGGGCTGGACATGTAATGAGATTTGGAGACGACCACTGGACTAGAGCCATTACCTACTGGATTCCACAGGACGTCAAAAGTCCGCGTGGCTGCCCACCTACAAGATGGTCAGACTTCTTCATCAAGACCCTGAACCATCGGTTTGAGGCTGTTCACGTTCCTAGAATGAGCAGACGTCATTGGGCTACACTAGCGCACGACAGGGATGAATGGAGACATTACTGGCACCCACTCGAGCAAATCGATGAGTAATGGGATGTCAGTTGATCAAGTGATCACATATATAATATGCAAATATCTTCTTTCAGTAGGATTTTGTTTTGTTTTGGTGATAGTTTTTATTTTTTTTTCACTGTTCAGATGATTCTTTAGTTTGCTGTACCTCTATTTGTCTTCTTTCATGCCCTTTTTTTTGTCTTTTGAGTTATACATATAAATCCCATTTTGTATTATTTTTATATATAGGATTTCATAGTGTCCTAGTTTCATTCTTTTGCTTCTGGATGTCTGCTTTTGTCAACACCATTTATTGACACTTTTTGGCCCCATTGTATGTATTTCATTTCTTGTCATAGATTGCTTGTCTCTATATGTGCTCTTTTATTTCTGAGCTCTCAGTGCTGTTCCTCTGATCTTCAATATCATGCTATTTTGATCATTATCACTTGATAATATTGTTTGAAGTTGAGGAGCTTCAAACAACAACTGTGGGTTTTTTCTTTCTTTCTCAAGATTGATTTTGTTGTTCAGGATATTTTGCAGTTCCAACTAAGTTTTATGGCTTTGTTCTTGTTGTTCTGTTTCTGTGATGAATATTTTGAGATTTTGATAGGGATTACAGTGAATATGTTTATTGCTTTAAGTAATACAACCTTTTAATATTTTTAATTATTCCAACCCATATGCACAGAATATCTTTTCATTTTTTGTCTCTATTTCTTTCAACAATGTCTTCTGATTTTCAATATACAAGCCTTTCCCTCTTTGGTTAAATTTATTCCAAGATATTTTATGCTTTTTGATGTGATTGTAAATAGAATTTGTTTTCTGATTTCTCTTCCTGCTAGATTTTTTTTGAATTTAGCAGTGCAACAGGTTTTTGTATATTAATTTTCTAGCCTGTTGCTCTACTGTTTTATTATTTATAATAGCTTTTACTGGACCATTTGAGATTTTCTGTGCATGTATGTCCTTGGCGAATGATGATAACTTCTTCATTTCAATGTCTTTTGAATCTAGATCCCTTTTATCTCCTTTTTTTGTCTAGTAGCTCTGGTCAGGACTTCTGTCACCATTGTACATCTTGTCTTCTTCCTGGATTTAGAGGAAAAGCTTTCAATTTTTCTACTTTGAGTATGACTTTGACTTGGGTTTGCCATTAGGCTTTATCATGTTAGGGTATCTTCCTTCTCTCTCCATTTTATTGAGGTTTGTAACATAAGAGAATGTTGAATTTTGTCAGATGTTTTTTCTGTACCTTTTGGGTTGTATATCTGGTTTTTGTCCTTTCACTGGTGGTGGTATATCATGTTTGTTTGGTTTACCTGTATTGAACTAAAATGGCTGGATCTCACCATCCTTATCCACTTATCCCTGGAATAAGTCCTACTTGATTGTGGTATATGACTATTTTAATGTTTTGTTGAATTCAGTTTGCTGGTATTTTGTTGAAGATTTTTGTAATTTTAGAATGTGTGTGTGTGTGTGTGTGTGTGTGTGTGTGTGTGTGTGTGTGTAGGAGTATGATCTTGTCTGTTTTTAGTTGGGGTGATACTGTCTTTCTAAAATAAATGTATTTGGAGGTTTTCCCTTTTCAGTACTTTCCATGGGATTTTGAAGATAGTTTGAAAGTTTTGTAGGATTCATAAGAGAAACCATCTGGTACTTGACCTTTGTTTTTTGGGATGCTTTTGATAACATTCAGTTTCCTTACTCATGATAGATCTGTTCATATTTTGCAAATGCTTTCTGATTCTGTTTTGGAATGTTGTATGTGTCTGTAGAATTTGTAAATTTCTAGGTTGTGCACTTTGTTGCCATGCATTTGTAATACTCTCCTAGAATCATTTATATTTTGGTAGTATTTTAGTAGTATTTGTTGTAACTTATCTTTTGTTTCTGATTTTATTTTTTTTAATTTTTTTTTTAGTGTTTTTTTTTATTAGGGAAACACCATGAGGTACAGTTGTAGATTTACAATTTTTTGTGCTTGGGTTTCGATTATACAATGATCAAATACCCATCCCTCCACCAGTGCCCATTTTCCACCACCATGGATAATATCCCTCCCACCCCCATCCCCCCCATCCCCCCCTGCCTCTGTGGCAGGGCAATCCCTTGTGTTCTCTCTCTCCTTTTGGGTGTTGTGGTCTGCAAAAGAGGCATTGAGTGGCAAACATGTTCAGTTCATAGTCTACTTTCGACATGCATCACCCCTCCTGGGAGGATCCTCCAAACACCCTTTATTTGGTGCTCCCTTCTCTATCTGAGGTGCCCTTTCCCCTAGAATGTCCGGCTGGCCTCTAAGCTATGGAGTAATCCTCCTGGTGCTGATCTCAGCTATTCTTGGGTATTAATCTCATATTTTGTTACTTTATATCCCCCAGATGAATGCAATCTTTCTATGTCTATCCCTCTCTTTCTGACTCATTTCGCTTAGCATGATACTTTCCATGTTGTACCACTTGTATGTAAATTTCATGACTTCATCTTTTCTAACAGCTACATAGTACTCCATTTTGTAGATGTACCAAAGTTTCTTTAACCAGTCATGTTTCTGATTTTATTTTTGCTACTTCAATTTTGACTTTTGTTTTCCAATTTTATTTATTTATTACCTTGTTTATTGTTTTGTGAACTTTTTGTTTTTTCAGTTTAGATAGAAGACTTTCTTTTCTTTCAGCATTTGTTTTGTTTTGATTTTGTTGTTGTTTCTTCAGCCACATCGGGTGTTGCTCAGGGATTCTGGCTCTGCACTCAGAAATTACTCCTGGCAATGTGCAGAGGAATATACAGATGCCAGGGATCGAACCCTGGTTGACCATGTGCAAGGCAAAGGCCCTACCCACACTTTTACTATCACTCTGACATATATATTTCTTGTAATGGAAATATAATAGTGGTAAACTTTGTCAGCTGTTGTTTGTGAAATATTGAGAGAAGTTTGCAGGCTATATTATTGTTGACTGGTACTTTTGTTTTTGAATATTTTGAATGTCTCATTCTACTCTATCCTGGCCTATAAAGACTCTGCTGAGAAGTCTGACAATAGTCTGGAGTGCCTTTATACATCCATTACCTGCTCTCTCTCCTCGTTTTATATTTTTTTTTCTTTGCCTAGTACTCTTGATAGTTTTACTACTATGTGTTTTGGTGTGAGTGTGACTGCATTTAGATAATCAGATGTTCTGTTAGATTCATGGACTTGTGTTTTCAATTCCTACCCCAGGCTTTGGAAGATTTCTGCTGTTATCCCTTTGGTTAAGTTCTTCATTCCCCACGCTCACTCCGTTGCCTCACCTTGTGTGTGGTTTTAGAATTTTTATTCACAGCAAGATCTGTGTCTTTCTTGGGGCATTATATTTTGGTCATTAAGCTCCCACGGCATCCAAGGGAACCACCCCTTAGGAGTGGTTCTCAGGTTTTCAAAAGTGTGGGTTTGCAATAGACTAGGTTGCAAATACTACTTTTACTGCTTCTTTAGATTATGTGACTTGCTTTGAACTAGTTATTTGAACTCTCTGATGCTTACCTTCCTTATCTCTAAAATAAGAATGTTCACTAAAACATTTTGTAGAGCATCATTTCCCTCACAGATGAGTTTCAAGCTATTGCCTGTATTTTTGTGTTAAGTTCTTGGTATCCCTTCTACTTCCTCTCCTTAGAAGGTGCTGTCCTAGTTTTCTTGTCTTTCAAAATTCAGTTCAGATATTATTGGTAACTTCTTTCTTCTACAACTGCAAAACCAGCCTTGGTTTTTCTTCTCTTTTGTGCTTCAAATTGGATTTATGACTCCCAATTGCTTTCTAGCCAGACTGTGGGTTGCTCAGGGTTGGGATGATGTCATAATAACTCCTTAAATACCTTGTTAGAATTTTCCTACAGAACGAGTTCTCCTTCTACCTGTTTTAGAATTTCAGTAGCAATGCTTTAATGTTGGTGTTAAGGAAATAGTATTAAAAGCAAACTAGCCCTCCTTTGTGGGGTGTGGGGTGATGGGTGGTGGTGGTGGAGTGTTTCACACTGGCTATAATATTTCACCCTCCTCCTAGATGAAATGTTAGTTGGCAGAAGGAAGGACAAGTTTAGAGCATCTAAACCTGACCCCTTCCCCTCATTTTATTTTTAAAATGCTCTGGTTAATGTAGGAGCCTTTGACCTATTCCAGTTTACACAAAGGAAGGAGTTGAAATCAGACTTCTAAAATAATATTCCAAGCAATTATAGAGCAGGTTTCTGGATTCATTATTTCTTCCCCTATGGCTATTCGATCCTGGTCTCTGCATTTTATTCTCTCTTTGTCTTATTTTCAGAAATAAATTATACATTATTGTGGAAAAGACATTAGAACTCTGACTTTTCATACCTGCCCCCATAACTCAGTAATGGAGACATGTCTCTAGAAACAAAGTATATAAACGGAACTGTCTATGCACAGTACCATATGGGTACAGTTTCACATCTTTATATTTTGGCTTGTTCTTTATATCCAATTTCACTTATGCGCTTTCCTGTTACTTAATACCCAGTCCTATTAATCCGATTTCATATATACCAAGACTAATAAACATATGAAGCATGTTTGACTTTGAGTAGCTCTAGGAATCACTCTTGTCACCTTCTACTACAGTAGCAGCGTGCGCATACAAACTTTTTCCTGGTGCTAATGTGTCTTTCATGTTCTTCCAGTTTCCAGCTGTGAACCATCCTCAGTCACTGGAGAGACGATACCTTGGCATTTTAAATAGCGTTTTACTTGACCTAATGAAGGTGGGACATGTCCATGTTTCCTGTATAGAATGTCTTGTTTTCCGGATTGTCTTGAGTCTACCTGTGACCAAAGCCTGCATTTAATTTTTGTGAATAAATGTTTCATGGTAATCAGTTATAATGATGAATTCTGGGTGGTCATGTCACATTAAAAGGCATGTCACTTGTTTAAAAGTGCAGCAGGATTGTTATTGTAATAGTCCATCTAATCAGGACTGTAAGTACTTAAATTGCATTCCTAAAATAGATATAATAACAGCAATCTAAATATATATAGTAAAAGAAATATTTAGCTCTCGAGCTACTGAGGCTTGAGGTTTTCGAGCAAATCTTATTTATAGTACAGGTAACATGATATTAATAGTGTTAACGTTTATGTTATTGCTGTACAAAGCTGCTGCGTTCCAACACCATCAGCGTATACTCAGGACACTTCACCATTGCCACTATGTGACCTCTAATTTTATGTCTGTGTTCCCCTATCACCACTCTTGGCACCAGCTTGGCAATCTGAGTTTGGTAAAACAAGGCCAAGGGCTTCTCATTGTTCTCTACTGTCTCTTCCCTTTTAAAGACCCGGGAACGTGGCAGAAGTGGCACTGAATTCAATCCCTTGTACACATGTGCCCAACCTCAGCTCTGCTGGGCGTGGTCTTATTGAAAGCTTTCCTTTTGTTTTGAACTTTAAACTGGATGTTGAAGGAGATTCTGGCAGTTTTTTGCATGATGTTTAAGACCTCCCACAGGGTGATTTTTATCAGAGGAACTTAATTCTGTTCCTTTTTTCTAACTTGGCCTCTTTTCTCCGAGACAAACTGTTTTTTTTTTTTCTGGTTCTTCTTCAGCATAGCAGAGTCACTGCCACTATTGGACCTGCCTGTTTCTCCTCACGTTAGCTTCACGCTCTGGACTGCTAAAAGTGTTTTCACCATTTTTTAATTTCTCATTTTTCTTTCCTACTAGACACAGTCAGCCTACCTCTTGAGTGAAACTATTTTTCCATATTTCTCCAGTTTCATTGCAGCCAAGCAGGGCAGAGCAAGTTGATAGTAGACCTTTAAAAACACTTGTTAATGGATCAATTTTATTTTGTACGCATTCAGTCACCCATCAGAATCAGAGGTTATGCTGGGCATAGAGCCTTTAAGGTTGTACTTAGCACAGCTGGAAATTGCTAAGCAGCCCTCTCAGAACTTTGCTGTGCTTTTCAACGATGTCAATTTGTGTTCTCAGGAACACTGTGTAAATAGCTGAGTGGGCAGGGTGAAGGTGGGCCTGTGGGGAAGGTCCTGCGCTGTATAACCTTTCTTAGAGATACACAATATTTATTAACCTGTAAAGACTTTCGGAGCTCTCACTGTAAAGAAGCATTTCTGTCTCAACCTGTGTTGCCCAAATTTAATTACTGAATGCATTTTGATTTTTTTTTCTGAAACTTCATAGTACTAATATTCTCCTAAACACAAATTGGTAGATGCTGTTTACCCCTCCCCCTAAAAAAAAACGGACCCTCACAGATCTTTCAGGTTAATTAAGCATAAATTATCTCTTAAATCAGTTGAGTTTTGTCAATATGTTCTTTCACACCATCAATATTTATAAGGGCCTTAATTAACTGGTACGTTTTAAAATATAAATAGAATAAAGTAGAAAAACTGACTAGCTCACAGATGAACATGATAATGCTTGCCTTGCACATAGCTAACCCAGGTTCCCCCCAGCACCTCATATAATTCCCTGAGCCCACCAGGAGTGAAATGCTGAGCACAGAGCCAGGAGTAAATCCTGAGTGAGCACTGTTGGGTGTGACTCCAGAAAAAAAAATTAAAAAATAATAAACTGAACTTTTTTTGTTGGTAGTGGTGTTTTTTGTTTGTTTTGTTTTGTTTTGTTTTGCTTTTTGGGTCACATCCAGTGATGCGATGCTCAGGGGTTACTGCTGGGTCTGGACTCAGGAATTACTCCTGGTGGTGCTTGGGGGACCATATGGGATGTTGGGGATCAAACCCAGGTCAGCCGCATGCAAAGCAAATGCCCTCCCCACTGTGCTGTCGCTCCGGCCCCTGAATATTCTGTTTAAATATTGCCAAATATTGTCAAGCGCCAGTGTATTACTTGGTAAAAGTTAGCACAGATGGAAATACAAAGATAACTTGAGTCAGCCTACATTTTTATTAGTTTGAAAGTTAATATATTATTACTCCCAAAATTCAACATTTAATAAGAATTTTTTATTAAAGTATATAAAATAATAGTATTAGTTAAATAAATACTTCAAAGAAAATATGCAAACATTTCAAAACTGTATATTCAAGAGGTACACAATTTAAAAATGTACATGTCAGTTAAATTAATTATGTAGGCATACCCATGTAACCCCACCTAGATAGACATACAAAAAAATATTAGCACCCTAAAGGCCTCATGATGACCCCTTTAAGGCTTTACGCCCTTGCCTTTCCTGCTCTTGCCTTATGTTTCCAAAGAGTAGTATTGCCTTGTTACTACTGTTTGTGAAAGAAATCGAAGTATTTCTTTGGTCTGTTAACTTTGAAAATGAATTTGAACAATCGCACCATTTTGCCCTTGCCTGAAAACTATATTCTCTACGACATTCCCTAATGCAGACTTGATCATTTCGAAGGTCCACCTTACCCTGAATCTGTTTCAGATTTCAGCCATTTTAGTAGGGTCACTATAATTGATCTAAACCTCCAATAACTTGAAATTTTATGAGAGGGGTCAAAGAGATAGTGCAGGGGTAAGGCGCTTGCCTTCTGCTCAACTGACCCCAGTTTGATCCCCAGCATAGCAAGTGGTACCCCCAAACACTACCGGGAACGATCCCTAACCATGAGTCCAGTATAACCCCAAAACCTCAACAAAAAATAGTTAAAGTAAATATAACTACATGGGCTCAACTTAGGTTTTAAGGAAAGGAACTTTATTTTGCCTCCAAATAGTAAATTGTTTTCTAGGTAAGTGTTCTGCTTTCCTCAGAATGACTTCACCCTTTCAAGTAATTTAAAATGAAACAGCTGTACTTATAAATATAAAATAATTCTTTATGTCTCTGTGCGGTAATTTCTATTGATGAAACCATAAGTTAAAATAGCACTTTATACTTGCTACTATTTGGTGTCTGAAAGGTGAGAAGTACTTCTCATTTAAAAGAGCACTCAGGGGCCAATTTTTCCCGTTTTCAAAAAATGAGTATCATCCAATTGAAACCATTTTGATATTCACTGTTTTAACTGTCATTGAGAGGGAGATCATTTACATCCTTCCACAGATTTTATTCTCTAATAAAGAATGGAGATGATTTCAGAGTCTGCCTGAGTCAGCAGTGTTAATTCATTTACATGTCAGTGGGACTTGGTTTACTGGAATCTTTAGGCCCAAATTAAATGTTTGTTTGTGACAGACAGGATCAGAATTCAAATCCTCTGTGGTTTATTGGGAAGAAATGTATTGCAACTCTTAGTACAGCTCTTACTAATTTACTTTAATAAATTGCTAAATTAATTACAACTGCAACTCTTGGTGTTGTATTACAGGGATGACACGGATAACTGTGGGAAAAAAACAGAGGAAGTGAGCTAGAGGCAGAGTGGAAGTGAGCTAGAGGCAGTGGGGAAGGCTGAAATTTCACATTTTTCTGGTCTTTGAGGGAGAATGCTTACTTTTGAAAACAAATTTCAGTGAGCGCTCTTGAGTTGTGTTAATTTGTGTTCTTATAGGTCTTGTTTCTAATTTTTCAATAAATATTAGTTTTTATAATCTTTTAAAACATTGCCTCGTGACTAGTAAAATAAGATAATTTTAGAAGAAAATGTTTTAGTTACTTAAAACGTAAAAATATTAAATAAGATCAGTACCTTTATAAATAAAGGACACTTTTATTAAGAGTAATATTAAAAATGGAAAGGAGAAATACAAATAACCACTAAACATAGAAAAATATTCAAGATCATGAAAAATTAATGATGTGAATTAAAATAGCCATAGGATGCCATTTTAGAAATAACTAATTTACAACGATAATGACTTTTGGAGTTGAAAATGCATGAAAATTAGTAGAGTCTCCAATTGCTAAGTAATATCATTTGAGACAATAATCTTTAAAAGCTGATATGTTCTGTCCGTAGTAAGCCTCTGATAGGGATTGTGAGTGTTCATAGACTCTACTGTCACAGGATGAATTATATATAGTAGTGAAAAGAAGCCCCCTCTCGGAGAGCCCGGCAAGCTTCTGAGAGTATCTCGCCCGCACGGCAAAGCCTGGCAAGCTCCCCGTGATGTATTCGATATGCCAAACACAGTAACAAGTCTCAGAATGTTACTGGGCCCGCTCGAGCAAATCGAGTGAAAAGAAGCAACCATCTAATATCCAACTATACGATACTGTTTAAACAAACCATGGTATTGCCATACCTCAGTCTTTTGTATGGTCATTGAAAGACATGTTGGAAACTCGATTGTTTCAGCACTTCTCATAATAATAAAGGACGGTGATCAACCTCGATGTTTATTTTCGAGGACAGGCTAAGTCACATCCATAGGGTTGAAATTCTGCTGATCTAGCATAATCTCTTGGGGTCTCAGGCCCAGTGGAAAGAAAGCTGAGGTTAGACAATTGTGTGTATTTGGACACAAAAGCAGCAGGTGGAGATAGGTACCGAGTATCTGCGAGAGGGCGCGTGGATAGCTGGTAGCACGGACTGCCTCCCAACAACAGGCGAAAGATGAAGAGCGTGTATTTCAAATGCCTAAATTGTGTCCTAAGGAAGGTTTTTGATTAGTACATGCAAAGTTCAGGGTATAAAACAGATGGAGAATGCGGGCCAGATTTTGTCCATGGCAAAAGGGTCTGTCTGGTAGGGCGTATCCCCACATGACAACAAGCTCGAGATTAGGGTTGAAAGAGGAGGGGGATTGCACTCTACTATGATGTTTTTTAGATATTCTGCAATGAGCATGTATTAAGAAAGGGATAAAAGGTTTTCACTAGAATTGACATTGGACTCTGTAATGTTCTTTCTAACTCTAAATTTTATCTTCTAAGAATTTACTGAAGTTGGACCCATCTGACAGATACTTGACAGAACAGTGTTTGAATCACCCAACATTTCAAACCCAGAGACTTTTGGATCGTTCTCCTTCAAGGTCAGCCAAAAGAAAGCCTTACCACGTGGAAAGCAGCACGCTGTCGAATAGGTAAATACTCCCTTTTAAGGAAGTACAGATGCAGCGTTGGTCTGATAAGTAGGTGGAGGAGGTGGCTGCTTAAATGATGCAATTAGAGAAAAGAAGGAAAGCCCTCTTTATTCAAAAATATCTTCCTTATACTTATTACGTGATTCAGAACTACAATTAAGAGTTGTGTGGGTCTTGAAGACTTTATCTTTAATAAGTATATTATGGAAACCTATGCATTCCCCGGGGAAAGGTGGCATGAGTTAGCAACTTAGGAGATTTCTAGCCTTATGAGCTAGAAGATTCTGTATCAAGGGGCCCCTGGGCGATTCCTGGATGAAAACAGGTGAGAACAAGGGGATTTCTAAAGGAGAAAGTGGTGCTGAACACAGGTGGGCAGGAAGCCACCTAGGACAACTTTTGCAATTAACCCAAGTGATTTGTTCTATAGATAGGTTTTGAAGGTTTTCGTTGCCCTATGATGGGTCTCATTCTCCTAACCCTGAAAGGGCCTTGAATATGGCACTTTAAAATCTCAGGGCTAGGACGAAGGAGACGTTACTGGTGCCTGCTCGAGGCAATCGACGAACAACAGGATGATCGTGATCGTGATCGTTGTCCTTATCTTTTTATTGAGTCGAGAAATTATTTTTTGAAAAGAATAACTAAATGGGGCTGGAGAGATTGTACAGGAGATGAGCCACCTGCCTTGCAGGTAGCTGACTCCAGTTTAATTCCTGGCACCTCATACAGCTCCCTAGCACTGCCAGGAGTGGCTCCTGTTTTCTTTCCAGGCCTCCCTACCCCAGGAATAAGTAAATGGAAATGGTAAAGTAAGGTTGGTAGATACTGATTAAAATTAGTACTTTTAAGTTTCATTTTCAGAGCCAGAGGGGCAGTACATTGAGTAAGATCCTTGCCTTGCATGTAGCTGACCCAACTTCAGTTTCTTACCACATATGGTCCCACAGGGCCCGCTCGGAGTGATCCCTGAGTGCAGAGTCAGGAATAAGCTCTAAACATAGTCAGGTTTGACCTTGAAAGCATATATGATGAAAATTATCATATAGATATAGTATAATTTTCAACAAATGGCTTTACAAAACTTTTATTTTGCCCATAAAGAATTAACCCATACTGAAGTGACGTTCCCCGATTGCTTTGGCTGCGTTTACAAGAGAGCAGCGGCCTGGTTTTTGTCTCCTCCCAACATGCTGGGCTTGAGGGCTCACATTAGATGAGGGGTTGGTTCCCAAAGTGGATGAGACCGTCCCTGGGGAAGGAGGCCCTGGGACCATGGGAGGGGCAGTAGTAGCCTCGGGTGCAACTGGAATTTGCGATTTATTCATTAAAAGAAGGTAAATTGGGGGGGGGGGGGGCAGGTTGAGGCCTGCCAGGTGGTGCTCAGGGCTTCTTCCTGACAGTGCTCAGGGATCACACCTCGTGTGGCTAGGGTAATCTTTTTGTTTTGAGAAGGGGCCATAGGCAAAATAAGTTTGGGAACCTCTGGCTAAGATTCTGGTAGATAGGAAATACTTTCTCTGATCTACTATAAAAAGAAATGGAAAACAATGATTGTCAGTATAAAGCCTTCTTAAAATGTTTTCACATTTCCACCCTAGCTTCCTCTCCACATTGAACAATTGTTCTTAACCAGTCGAAATTTTGAAAGCTTAAGACCTAAAGCTTTTTAGATCTCTGAGTGTCCACAAGTAGGTAATAGCCATTTATCCCATATTTTCTCGACTTGACTGCCATGGTATGATTGCATCGTTTTACAGCTATTCGCTCTTCTTAAAATGGATAGTTTGGGTTATTGTGTTCTTCAAATCTCATAAATCATTCTTGGTTTGTTTTTGTTTTTCATGTTCTCTGTCTTGAGTCTCCTTTCGTTTTTAATTTATGCTTTCATTATTACTATACTTCAGATAACATGGCTATAGTATTGTTACTGTTTATAATTTTGAATGTACACACTTACTGCACCTCACATAAATCATTCCTATCTCCCCTCTCTTCCCACCCCCAGGAGAACCATGCAGCACATTCAAATTTGGTTTGGCCAAGATTGTGTTCACTTTGTTGTCTATTTCCATGAGCTTTTGGTGCACTGAGTCAGGGAATAGTGTTCGTCATTTGATTGCTCCTTTGCATTTAGGAGATGCATAATACGTCTCTCTTCTCTGTCTGTCCCAGTTCTGAAGCTCTTTTACTCCATCCAGCCCTAATTGTCACTTGACTCCTGGTTTATGTTTGCAAAGAAAAAGGATCCCAGTAATACACAGTTCAGGAGACTGAGGATAATGTTTTGGTGGATGCTATATTATCAAGGAGCTCCTATATATCTGCCCTCTGCTGACTGACCAGAAGGGAAATCCCCAGGAGGGAGGGTTCTCTCCTTGGGAATCCTCTTCGGAATCCATCAAGGAGGGTGTCTGTTGTGATAAGGGTTTGGTTTGTTGTTTACTCGTGGGCTGCTGAGGATCAAACCCAGGGCTTCATACTGACCTGAGATATGGTTTTTGAGAAGTCATATACACTTTTGATGCAGACAAGAATATAAGCATTACAAGTTAAAAGAAATTCTGGAAGAATTCATTTTCAACTGGTGATACCACATTGGGTATATGAGAGAAAACATCCTACCTGGCATCTCTAGGGATCATCTTTAGGTCAGTTAATACGCAGCTGGAAACAACCTCTCCCTACGAAAGAAGCTTGAAGCTTCTTACGTAGAAGCCCTTCTCGGTACACACGGGCTCCCTCGAGTCTCCCCAGAACCATGTAGAGTTGTCCATGTACCATATCATGTTGACTGCCAGTTACACATATGCCAGTGAGACATAAATCATGTGTCAGGCATCCCCGTGTGCAAATTCATGCTCAACACAGCTAGTCTCTGGTCGTCCAAGTTCACGTATCAAGAGACGAGGCACGGGCTCTTACGTGACCTAGCCCGTGCCTGTGTCTCCTTCAGAGTCTCTTAAGGTTCTGCTCACCTTAGACATGGCAGGAGAGTCCCCAACCTGCCCACAGCAGCACCTTGCCAAGCCTCCTTTGCCAACCTTCCCCATAAATGAGTCTCTGTGCATTTCTCATGTTAGCTTTAAAACGTCATTTTACCTAAATCATATATCTGTCATGCAACCATTTAGGAAGGGTTTAGATATTAAATCCTTTAAAGTAGCTGGCAGTTAAGCCCAGATTCCTTGTAGCTGTGTATCAAAGAGGTCTGTAGAATTTTTGAAGTTGCTTCTTTTTTCCTTTTATTGTGCTTTGGCAGGGCTCCAATTTGAAGATAATATGATGCCCTTTCTACATAGGAATTGTGTGCAAAGCTCAGTACTGTCAGATGAATGCCAGCAGAAACTTTCAAAATAGTGGCTTAGGCTCTTTGTACACTTATGGGAAACCTAGTGCTCTGTCAGATCTTTGTTTCCATCTTAACTTGATAATCTCCCTTTTCACCTTAGAAATTGCATCTCACCTTGCGATGAAGGTTCTTCCTAAGTGCGGGTTGTGCCCCACCTGGGGAGGAACAGTGTTTTGAACAGTGTTTCTAGAGAGGTTTTTTTTTTCTTTTCAGGTCATGCTCTGCACTCAGAAATTACTCCTGGCAGTGCTCAGGGGACCATATGGGATGCTGGGAATCGAACCTGGGTTGACCACGTGCAAGGCAGATGCCCTACCCGCTGTGCTATTGCTCCAGCCCCTGTTTCTAAGAGTTTCAATTCAATAACTCTCTTCATTGTTCTCTGGTCCTCATGAGCTTGGAACATTCCCCAGTATTTGAGAGTATCATCTCCGAGTAACTTTCTCCAGGCTGACAGGAGAAAGGGGAGTAAACAAGGCTTTTGCGAGTTCATAGGAGCCAGGCAGGAGGTAGCACTACAGGGGGCCCTGATCTCGGTGAGAGTGGGCACTGATTCCTGAGTCAGAGCCGAAGCTGGGAAGGGGCAGGGCAGATGGCCCTCAGCCCTGCCGACTGCCAGGACCAGAGAGAGTTAGACAAGTCAGGGTGCCGAGGAGCCTGGTGTCAACAGTGTCATGCTCTGGAAGGCCGGGATGAAGCAGAGAGGTCATGAATAGTGGACTGTGGGCTGAGCACATGGAAAATTACCAGCGGATTTAGTCCAGTCTGCTTATGGGCGAGACAGTGGCCTTGCATCCTTTGGTTTTTTGAAAAGCTGCTGGGAAAGTTAAGTTTAGTGACTTACAAATGAGCAACCAACTAAGCTACAGGACTGTCTTTTGTTTTTATTTTTTCTATTTAGGGCCTATGGGGTCATATACCTGGTGATGCTCGGGGGGGGGGGGGGGGTCACTCCTGGCTCTGCACTCAGAAATTACTCCAGGGGACCATACAGGATGATGGGGAATGAACCCGGGTCAGTGGCATGCAAGGCAGATGCCTACCCACGGCACTATGACTCCAGCCCCAGGACTGACTTTTATTGATCCTGGGGATAGACCCTGTTGACATCATTTAATAGAAAGTGAAACTTGCTTTGTGATTTCTTTGTGATGTCCTGTTTAGTTAGCTCATATTTGGTAAAGGTAAAGGCCCTCCCGTTGATCGTTGATTTGCTCGAGCGGGCCCAGTAACGTCTCCATTGGAGACTTTGTTGTTACTGTGTCTGGCATATCGAATACTCTCGGTAGCTTGCCGGGCTCTCCGAGAGGGGCGGAGGAATCGAACTCGGATCGGCCATGTTGGCCGCTTGTAAGGCGAACGCCCTACCGCTGTGCTATCACTCCAGCCCAAGCTCATATTTGAATAACTTTATTTAATGCTCTAGTCCCTCTGACACAACTGCGAGATGAGTGAGTGTACCTAGGAGATGTGGCTTCTACAGCGTTGCAGCCATGCTGGTTAGCAAACACTTGTTAACACTCTCAGGGGTAGGAGGAGGGGAAGGTGCCCTTCCAATTCATGCCTGTGCATGTAGATTCTTGTAGGAAAAATGGAAGGTACCGCTTCACAGATTACTACCCTACAGAGCAAAACAAGATTTGTCTTCCAGTTGAAGTGATGGGAACAAAGCTCTCTCAAATCAAATCATCTTGAGCTATAGCAGAGCTTCTGAGTGCACAGTAGTAAGAAGGGAACTGTGCAAATCATCTTTCATTTCAAAGTCTGCTAACCCATCTCGGGCTTTGATTTGGTCCTTTAAATAGTTACCCCAGGACACACTTCACTGTCCTCGCACCGAGGGCGACATTTTCCTCTAGATTTATATTTTGTCTTTTAGACTGAGTAGGAAATGAAGCTTTAGACTTAAAGAAGGCCTCAGACGTCTGAGACTTTGGAGTAATGAAGTATGAAATGAAAAAAGAGATTATGTCTTTGTTTGTTCGGGGGGCCACACCCCGCGGTGCTCAGGGCTTACTCCTGGCTCTGCTCTCAGGTTTCGCTGGACTGTCTGCAGGTACCAGGCATTGAACCGGGGTTGGCCACCTGCAGGGCAAACATCCTCCCTGCCCCCATCACTTCAGACCTAGCTGAGTTGACTCCTTTCTATCCCCACAGCCTGCTACACAAGGAGGTGTCTGAAGTGCTGCAAGTCTCGCCTCTTCTCTCCAACATAAGCATCATTCCTTGTGTTTGCTACCACACCTCACCAGGAACTTCTTGTTTCTTTTCAGGGCATGATTTTCGGTCATTGAGTACATTATTGGAATTCTCTTTCTTGGGCTACACCAGTTGAAAACGAAAGAATCACTGGTGTCAGTGCTGTGCGTTTTTCTGAGGCAGACTGTGCGTTTTGTAAATAAAAATGAAGTTCAAGGAACACAGTGCCCATGAAGCATGAATGTGCCCTGCTGATAGTCTAGCAGACAAAGGAGTTTGTGTTTGTCTCGAGCACAGCTGTCTTCATAGCAGGCATTCTATAACAAATACTCATGTGGGCACCGGCCTAGCAGAAGCGCATTTTTCCCAGCTTCTCAGTTTGGAACTGTGTTGGCAGCAAATTAGTGAGCGTTTAAGGGTGCCAGAATAACTTTCCTGGGACCAGAGCTCTGCTGCAGTGTCTTGCTCTGAGGAACTTACTTCTTAGTGTGGATTACGTGTTACTTGTCAGTACATGTTTGAGAGTTCATGATTTTCGCCTTTGAACTATTTCAGGTATGTGTTTTATGCTTTTTGTCCATCTACTAGTCAGCGACACTGATGCATGCCATTTGGGCTTTGCTCTGTTTCCCCCTAGAAACCAAGGCAGCAAAGGCGCAGCATTGCAGTCCCACCACAGATCTAACAGCAAGGACATCCAGAACCTGAGTGTGGGTCTGCCTCGGGCCGAAGAAGGGCTCCCCACCAACGAAAGCTTCCTCAATGGCAACCTGGCTGCGGCCACGCTCAGCCCCATGCACACGAAAACCTACCAGACCAGCAGCCAGCCGGGCTCGGGCGGCAAAGACCTCACCAACAACAACATCCCACACCTTCTCAGCCCCAAAGAAGCCAAGGCGAAGACCGAGTTCGACTTCAACATCGAGACGAAGGCTTCAACATCGGAAGGCCCCGGCACCAAGTACCTCAAGTCCAGCAGCCGCTCTCAGCAGAACCGCCACTCCTTCATGGAGAGCTCGCAGAGCAAAGCCGGGACACTGCAACCCGGCGAGAAGCAGGGCCGGCACAGCTACATCGACACCATCCCCCAGTCCTCGAGGAGCCCCTCCTACAGGACCAAGGCCAAGAGCCACGGGGCGCTCAGTGACTCCAAGTCCGTGAGCAACCTCTCCGAAGCCAGGGCCCAGATCGCCGAGCCCAACGCCAGCCGCTACTTCCCCTCCAGTTGCCTGGACTTGAACTCGCCCACCAGCCCCCCGTCCGCCCGGCACGGCGACACGCGGACTTTGCTCAGCCCCTCGGGGAGAACCAACCGCAGCGAAGGCACACTCGACTCCCGCCGGACCGCCACCCGCCACTCCAAGACCATGGAGGAGCTGAAGCTGCCCGAGCACCTGGAAGGGAGCCACTCGCACTCGCTGTCGGCCCCACACGAGTCCTTCTCCTACGGGCTGGGCTACACCAGCCCCTTTTCCTCCCAGCAGCGGCCGCACAGACATTCCATGTATGTGACCCGGGACAAAGTGAGAGCCAAAGGCTTGGATGGAAGCTTGAGTGTAGGGCAGGGGATGGCGGCCCGAGCCAACAGCCTGCAGCTCCTGTCACCTCAGGTACGGCGGGGCACTGCCAGCAGACCCACGCGTGGCTCGTGGTGGGAAGGTTGGGGAGGGCGGGCCTCAGCCCCTCTGCAGCAGGAGGCTGACTTCCCTCCATAGGGCGCATTCAGGGATGCCAGACCCGCAGGGCTCATAGCCAGGAGAACATTTCTTTGATTATTTGAAGCCCAATGGTGAGTCCTCAAGTGAACTCCCAAAAGAACCCATGTTCTTATTAAAAGGTAAGGTAAAGGCCCTCCCGTTGATCATCGATTTGCTCGAGCGGGCCCAGTAACGTCTCCATTGGAGACTTTGTTGTTACTGTGTCTGGCATATCGAATACTCTCGGTAGCTTGCCGGGCTCTCCGAGAGGGACGGAGGAATCGAACTCGGGTCGACCATGTTGGCTGCGTGCAAGGCAAACGCCCTACCCGCTGTGCTATTGCTTTTTGGGTCACACCCGGCGATGCACAGCGGTTACTCCTGCCTCATGCACTCAGGAATTACTCCTGGTGGTGCTCAGGGGACCATATGGGATGCTGGGAATCAAACCCGGGTCGGCCGCGTGCAAGGCAAACGCCCTACCCGCTGTGCTATTGCTCCAGCCCCAGAACCCGTGTTTTTAGACACCTGCTTCCTTTCAGAAGTGTCCCTTTCTGTCATAGTTTGTTCAGAGAATTCTTATTTTGATTTATTCTAAAATTCATCAGTTATGTGGGTCTTTTTTTTGGTTTGCTCACAACTCAGCATGAATTCATGGGGATTTTCTCTAATCTTCCCAAGCCACATGTACTGAAATCAAGCCCTTTTGCTAATACCTTCGTCAATATCTTAACTGGATTTAAAAGTTGAGCATTTATCTAGAGTTATGGGTAAATTTAACCTCAGGCCAGGACAAATGTTAATTTCCAGTCTTTTGGGGTTTTTTTTCAAATCTCAGGGCAGAGCTTTTAGCATTATACTTCCTCCTTTTTATTGATCAGACTGTAGAACTGACACCTGTTTCAAACGGAGTAGTACTCTTGCACCAGAGCCCGTTTTTTAAAATACTATTTTCCTGATAGGTGAAACATATCAAAGAAATGAAAGTGGAGCAAAGCCAGTATCCAAAAGAAAAGAGTTTCACATCGGAAAAGGCCTCCTCTTTTAGGGAATATAAAATAAATTTGTCAGTATGTGTCAGAATGCCAGAAAATATGGCTGGAATATATGATAGGCTTAGCAAGATGAGTGTGGGGGGAAGGGGTGAGGGCCAGAGGGTTGGTCTGAGCCAGGAGTACCACAGAGGGCTCCCTTTGGGGCACTGGGCAGTCTGGGGCTGTTTCTCACTTTATTTATTTATTTATTTATTTTGCTTTTGGGGTCACACCCAGTGATGCACAGGGGTTCCTCCTGGCTCTGCACTCAGGAATTACCCCTGGTGTTGCTCAGGGGACCATATGGGATGCTGGGAATTGAACCTGGGTCAGCCGCATACAAGGCAAACGCCCTACCCACTGTGCTATTGCTCCAGCCCCTGTTTCTGACTTCTGTGTACGCTTCAGACGATGTCAGGTTAGGGAAGTGATGTCATTGCTCTGTGCCTAGGATTCTTCATCAGAAGACGACGACAATCTTAGAAGCTGTGTATAGAGCTCGCTGCCTGGCACAAAGCATCAAACCATTCTTAGTTGTCGCGGCTGCTGCTGTGACATTGACATTGGTTCTGTTCTATAGGCATTAAACATCTTTACTCTGCTGGGTTTTTTTTTTTCAAGCACTCAAAAGAGTCTGAGACTCGTGGGTTCTTGCCCTTTAGAAACTTCTCTCCTCTCGGGGAAGATTAAATTATACATAACAATGAAATAATTAAGGACCAAATTAGTATGGCATGGCTATAAATAGGACTTGAGAACAGAGAGCGATCATTGTGACGGGAACAGGCAGAAATGGCTTTGGGGGCAAGCAGAGGCCTTGCTCTGAGCTCAGAGGTAGAGCCAGGTTCTGGATGGCTAAAGAATGAAGACGCGTTTGGGTATTCACTGAGCGAGGCGCTCTGATGGGCTCTAATTAGGAAGATCAAGAAGATGCTGTCCCTGTACCCTTGCAGTGTGTGGGCAGGAACTGGGGTGTGCATGCACAATTCCAAGAAATAGGTCGTTCTGATACTGCGAGTTGTGTGCCCTGCACTGTGCTGCCTGCATGCGTGTCTGGGGGTGGACGGGTGTGACCATCTAGGCAGGGCTCAGGCGAGGAGGTGGCAGCTGAGCAGAGATGTGTCGGGTGGTTGAGACTTAACTGGGAAGGAAAGTGGCGAAGACTGGAAGGGGAGACTACGCTCTGCGCGCTTGGGCGTTTCCAACCGCGCCGTGTGTGGGGGGTGAAGACCATGTGTCCCGGGCCGAGCCAGTGGCTGCAGGGACACAGGAGCAGGTTTCCGGAGAGTCCTGGAAGCAGGCCCAGAAGGCCTGGGGGATTGGAGGATGGACTGGAGGCAAAAGGGCGACTTCAGGGTTTCTTCTCTAGGAGAGGGAGAACTTGGACACTGCCTCCCTTTAACCCCTTCATCTCCCCCGTGACCATCCGAGGCTCCAAAAAGCGGTGAACTGCCCAGGCATGCCAGGTGATGCTGGACCCACAGGGCAGGGTTCTGACCCCTTGGTCCGTGCTCTCTGCACTATGTCCCGCTGACTGGCTAAGGTTGAAGTGACCCCGGGCTCCCAGGTACACACATTTCCCCCGGGATGGAAAGATGGCCTGGCACCCAGGTGAGACGAGGAGCGACTGAGCGCACTGGCAAAGGCCGCGATTAGATGCAGAGCCCAGAAGAGTCCTGGGGCTAAGGAGGCAGCTTCCAGAGCCTAGAAAGCTCTCTGGAGCCTGGCAGCTGCCCGTTGACGTTGGAAGGAAATCAGAACCAGGGGGGAACGGTAGCATTGAGCATAACATACACAGAGAGTGAGAGAAACAAAACACTTGGACAGAGGACAAATAGACAGACTCAAAGAGTTCCCGAAAAGAGACTTAGTGAACACGCTGGAAATAAGCTGAGTATAATTCATTGTCTGGGCCAAGCACAGATCCTAGCGTTACTGAATGTTAAGTCTGGTTTGGGAGGTTCGGTGCCAAGCTTCAAGACAGTACAAGTTAAAGGCTCACAGTCGCAGGTGACTTGAAGGTAAAGCCATGTAGAAATCACTGTTCTAAGTTTTGGGGGTCCCCTGCAAGAGCAAGAGGTCTGAGCTGGCACTGCGCCTTAAGAACTTAGGTTAGAGGTAAATCCTTTTCTAAAATTCTTTCTGTGGGCCTTTATAAAATAATAACAAGTGATAAACTTCAGAAAGAGATTTGTCACCAAGTAGAAAAAAGATGAGTTCTGTTGGATGGTTGCCTACCCTTAGTCCATTATCTGGGGAGTGAGGGAGAGAAGACAGTTGTCTTTTACATTTTAAATAAGATGCTTTGGAATATCCCTTAAGGCTCCAGAAGCGTGCTCTACCTGTGTGTATTACACAGATAGGAAATACAGTTGACTCCTCCTAATCACTTGGACATTTTATTCTCACCATTTTTCCCCGAGGATAGACAATGCTACCTTCCCAAGTCTCAAGGAACAACCTTGAGGGCCAGGGTTACTCTTAGTATGCGCCTCACTTCTTTGAGAGAAATAGGTAGCAAGTTCTCCATAGATGAGCTCTGTCGTGATTGGGATGAAGAAAACATGGGAAAATCTAATTGCAGTTATTCTAGAGAAGGTTAAGCAGAGAGCTACAAATATGGTAGGAGTTAGGGGAAATCTTTTTTTTTGGGGGGGGGTTCAGTTAATGGTTTATTTATTTTCTTTTTTTTACAAAATAAATTTTATTAAATGACCACTCATGTTATGTTATAAAGCACGGCCTTCATTATTTGCTATAGATGCTCTGGTGAATGCATATTTTCTTTTTTTTTTATTAGTGAGACATATGAGGTACAGTTGTAGACTTAGAAATTTTTGTGCTTGGGTTTCAATTATACAATGATCAAATAAATACCCATCCCTCCACCAGTGCCCATTTCCCACCACCACGGATCCCAGTATCCCTCCCACCCCCCATCCCCCCCGTCCCACCCTGCCTCTGTGGCAGGGCATTCGTGAGGGGAAATCTTAAAGCACTCATTATGGAGAGTATTTTTTCTGTGTATTGATATATTTCAAAGCACATTTGTTTTCATCTGAATCGTCATACAAATGAATTCTTCATGAAAAAAAGACTTTTGAATGGGCTTGGTTCTTTTTGGTTTGGGCAACTCAGCCTAAAATCTGCTAGAGAAATTTTGGATTACCTAGTAAAATCTCTAATTAGACTGGCTCAGAAACCTGACTACATATTAGGAAGATAAATTTCTTTGTTTTTAATAATTAATTGAACTATTTTCAGAATAATTTATTCCCTGTTCGCTTTAACTTTAATGAGAATTTCACTTTCCATCTGTGTAACATTTGTTTGACTTATTTTACATTCATCAGATGATTCACTCTTTAAGGGGACAATTTGTGCTCTAGTTACCTAACTTTTTCTTTTGGCTATCTAACATTTTTTAAATCTTTGCTAGGTAAGGTGCCAGTTATTCCCATTCAAGCCCAAAGTGACTTAGGTGATATTCATCCCTCACTTTCTTCTAAGTCTTTTAAAACTTACTTTGCAGCCTGGAGAACAGATTCCTCCAGAGATGACTGTGTCTCGCTCTTCTGGAAAAGAGTCTTCAAGAGAAGGCACCTCTTCATTCCACTCACGGCAGAAGTCTGAGGTCTGAATACTCTGTAGGGCTGCCTTTTACTCTAGAGTTTAGCTGTAACAGTTGGTCACTCGGCATCACCCTATCAAAATTGATTCATACTTTATCATAGTCTATGATTCATGCTGATTCCAGTCATTGGAACTGATTTTTAAAAAAAAAAAAAAAGTAATACTCCTCGGGCCATGACTTTTGAGTTTGCTCATTACATAATCCTCCTAGATTGTAGATCTGTGGGACTCTGTTCTAACTCACCGGAAGCATGCTTACTCCTGATGAACCTGTTTCTTGTTCAGGGTGGCGTGTATCATGACCCCCACTCTGATGATGGCACTATCTCCAAGGAAAACAGACACCTGTACAATGATCCTGTTCCAAGACGAGTTGGCAGTTTCTACCGAGGTAAGCCCAGCGCCTCCCGTGGAACTTGCAGGGCCCAGAGTGCCTCTGCCGTTGCCAACATGATGCCCGCAGCCCACACCCTCCACTATGCTTCCCTGCCCTGTTTCCAGTCAACATCATGGTTCTGTTGCCACCAAGCATTTCTCCCCACCTCGGGTCCTGCTGTCTCACTCAAACCCTCCTGGCTTCTGCCTCGGGCTTTTCTGAGGAGCCTTCCACTCCGTCTCCCTGTATCCCAGGTTGCCATCAGAACAGCCCTCGGAGTAATAGTTCTGAAGTGGTGTTCTGAGCGTTTCACTTAAGTCATCAAGTATTTGTCACTGTCAGCTGTGTTCCTGGCGCTGTTGAAGCTCAGAACAAGACAGCCAGAAGGTTCCGGCCTCATGGAGCTCTCGTTCTAACAAGGAGGACACCGGTAGATGGGATCATTATCTAGAGCAGTGGAAGGGAACGCATGCTGCAGGGAAAGAAATGAGAGCAAGGGAACCTACTGGCCCTGCTGACAGTCCTGGTGGCTTTCCAGTGGAGTCGGGACAAAATTGAAATAACCCGAGATGGAACTCACCACAGACTCTCCCAGCCCTGGCCCTGGCCGTGTCCCCAGATGTTCCGTTCCTCCCCATTTCTCGGGCTGAGCTAAATGCTTCTCAACTAACTGGAAGAATTCCGACTGTACCTGTGTACACTGTGCCTTTGAAAGGAGTTCCGTGGCTGTATGGATTTCTGAGTCATTGATAAGGGCATAGTTCAGAAGTGCTGTGTAGTAGCAGTATGGGATCCCCAGGGCACCCTCACCCCCGGGAGACTGAGGGCAACCCCACCAAGGTCAGGCCGGTGCCTGGCACCAAGAGGCTCCACTTCTTGAAGCCTCCAAGGGGCTCCATGACCTTCTCCAGCTGCCTGTGCCCATGTTGCTTGGTATCACTTTTTCTGTTGGCTTAGGAAGAAAGAAGGAAGAGAAATCAAGAATTGGGGAGACTAGAGAACATGGAAAACTGGCCATTTTTATTAGGAGCATGGGCTAAACAGATGCCCTATTAGTATTACTTCAGAATAACTGCACTATTCCGAATGGATTAGGCCATTCTGTTTACTCACAACGCCGCCTTTGAAAATAATATAATGTATTCAGCGTGCCTTTGAATGCCTGCCTTTTTTGATGCGTGATGATTTTAGATACTTACTGAGCCAAAATTTTAATTCAGATTAAAATTAATTAGAACAAATATGGTAGCATACACAAACAAAAAGCCTTTTCAGTTTATTGCTGTTTTACATCCGGAATGGGCCGCATACATGCTCTTTCTACTGATAGGTAGAGGATTGACTTTAATGATATGAAATGTTAATGGTACTTTAAATCAATCAGTTAATTTGTTGAACCCTGAAAACTTTTCTTTTCATAGCAAGTGAATGAAATTGCTTCATATCTTTGGAAATCCTCATCGTCTTCCCCATAATCCACTTCAGAGTTTGGCGAATAAAACAGAAAAGTCCAGATACAGAAGGAAACAATTTAACTCACAGAAATGTCTAGAGCATCATTTCAAATACTGTCATATCAGTGATACTATTCAGTTGAACTGGGTGACGATTTAGTGGTGTCGCTTAAGTGACAAATATTTCCAGAATATTTTCCATTTTCAGTGCTGCTGATCAGTACTTCAGTGAAATGGTGTTCTTTATCTTGATATGCAGCCTTATACGTGTTCCTTTTGTGAGGAAATTGCAGTATAGTTTAAATTTTTTTTGACCAAGCTTAGAGACTAACAAAAAAAGAAAAAAATTAGAACCTTTCCCCTGAAACTGAAAATTGTCTACTGAGATACACTGTGGTTTTTCTTTCTGTTCATTCCTAGATTGAGAATTTAGAGGAAAATTAGCATTTGTTTGTGTGCAAATAAGTGCAATTCTTTGGATTTAGTTTAAAAGATTCTAAAATTGACACTGCTTTTACCTGTGACATATTAAACTGTAGTGTGTCTATTCCAGCATGCATGTTGCACAGGATGACTTTAGACTAGAGTACATAGATACTACACAGTTCGATGTATGATAGAAGAGGGCCTCAGTTTCCAAGAATGTCAACACAGTATAGGTGATGAGAGCTAGTTAAGATTTAATTTTTTGTTGTGGTGGGGGGAGGGCACACCTGCTGGTGCTTCAGGCCTTATTCTTGGCTGTGCGCTCAGGGATCACTCCTGAGGGGACTTTGGGGACCTGGTGGGGTACAGGGGATTGAACCTGTGTCAGCTGCATGTAGATCATACACCCTACCCACTGTGCTATTGTTCCAGCGACTGTTATATTCATACCTTTAAATATCTCACACTGGCCAGGCCATTGTGAGATGTCAGTATGCATTGCCTGATGTGAGCTGACCCTCGGAAGTTGATGTTACAAGTAGGGTAGAAGGATGTTCCCTGCAAGACCACCACCCTCAGAAAACACAAAAATCATTGAGAAGGGTAAGTTAGTACTTGGACTTACCTGCTTATTTGTGTGAGGTAAGAAGTAATAGAATAATATCGGGGACCAATAATAGAGCTTGTAGGGGTTTGCCTTGCACATGGTCTACCCAGGTTTGATCCCCAGTACCTCATATGGTCTCTGAGCTGGCTAGAAGTAATTCATGAGTGCAGAGCCAGGAGTAACCCCTGATCACTGCCAGGTGTAGCACAAAAAACATTTTTAAAAAATAATAGAATAATTTAGGAACTGCCTTGGCCAGAGAAGTATATCAGTGATTTAATTGTTCTTCACCCAGTGCCATCTCCACGACCAGATAATTCCTTCCATGAAAATAATGTGTCAACTAGAGTTTCTTCCCTACCATCAGAAACCAGCTCTGGAGCCAATCACTCAAAAAGACAACCAGCATTTGATCCATGGTGAGTACTCAGATTTATTTTCACTTTTATTCTGTGTGATGGTAGGTTTGAGATTCAAAGACAGAAGGATAGACTTGTTATTTTTCTTTGTCCTGCTAGGCCTTTCTTTCTTGAGAGATTGTTTGGTGAGGAATCTGTGACTTGTCACTATTTGTAATGGTTTCTTTCAAGTTCAGCATTTATGTTACATATTGTGTAAAATGATAAAAATCTCTCCCCCATACATCAGTACCTCCTAAGTCTTCTACTGCACCTTTCTGGACAACAGTGATGTTTTCATGGTTCCTTTTGTTGCTATTTCTTTATTTATTTACTTATTTATTTATTTTTATGTAGGAGTACTGCTATTTATTCAGCCACTAATTAGCTGATTGAATTGGGCATGAACTCCACCTTACTTTTTTTACTTTTTATAATTTTATTTATTTAATCACTGTGAGAGCAGTTACAAAGCTTTCGACTTTAAGTCTTGGTCATACAATGAAACACCCGTACCTTCACCAGTGCCCATTCTCCACCCCCCAAAACCCCAGTACACCCCCATCCCACACCGTCCCCTACCTGTGGGGCAGATGATTTCCACATTACTCTGTCTCTACTTTGGCCGTGCTGGAGAGCCGCTCGTGGGGGGCAACTGGTGACCTCGGTAGGGCGTGAAGGATGGGCCGGAACGCCCCCCTTCCCATGAGGTTTTAGTCGCCCCATCACCCCCGGCTCATACCTGGCTCTCCACAAGGCTCCCATGCGGCTGCCATCTTTCTTTCCAGAGGGGGGAGGGTGGAAGGGAGCAACACCCTTTCCCCTCCGGGCAGTCTGTCTCTACTTTGATTACATTCAATATTTTGACACCAGACCCACCATTATTATTTGGGATTTTACCCCAACACTCAGATCTGCTGAAAAGGAAACCGTAGACAATTTGTTTTCCATTGCTGGTTATGAATAACATATGATATTGCGTGGCTGCAGTAGTGGCCAAGCGATTTTGAAATTCTGAAATTTTAACAATTAAATCTGGAGGGATTTCTGCCAATGGCCTCTGGAGGATGGCGGCCACCGAGCCCCCTAGGAGGAGCAGGCGGAGGGACAGCACCCTTTACCCCCTGGAATGGCCCGGCAACAGTAACCTACTGCGCAGTCTGGACGCATTTCTGCCAAAAGCCACTGGGTTTCAAGATATGTTTCTGAGTCTCTGGGATCATGGCTGTTAAGCAGCTTGATCAGGAGTTAGGCTGTTCATAGGTGACAACTCGGGGTCTCGTTGGGACAGGGAAGAAAGGGCCAGCTCCACCCCCATCCTGTGAGGCCCCCGTGTCTCTTCACTGTGGGCCCAAACCTGACTGTCCAGTGGCCTCTGGAGGATAGCGGCCATTGGGCCGGCAAGGGGAACAGGCCAAGGCACCTATTCCCTCCCGGGGTGGCCCAGCTCCTGTGACCTACTGTAGGGACTGGATGCATTTCTGCCAAAAGCCATTGGGTTTTGAGATTTGTTTCTGAGTCTGTGGGATCATGGTCATTAAGCAGTTTGATCAGGAACCAGAGAGGCCATGCCTCTATATAGCTGAGCCGGAGGTGGTTTGTGGGTGTGTCTCCCACATACCTAACTTTTGGCGTTTACTTTCTTGGTAAACTTTGCCCCAAGTTTTTGGGGTCTGGCCAAAGGCACAACAGCAATTTTGGGGTATCTGGAAGTCTGAAGGCGCCATCAGGCTGCTGATGCACTCGCCTCACAGGTACAGATTGACCTGCAGGCGGCACCATACCCCCTGCTGCTATTCCTTTAGCAGAAACTTTGCTTAGTATTCTGGGGGTGGGGGGTTGGGGGGAGAAGACCACCACATTCGCACAATCAACCTTTGAAGTTGGGGTGACTCCCATCCTGCAGATGAGGAAACTGCTGCTTAGTACAGAACTTGCTGGGTTCCTGACTTCCACTCACAGGGAGGCAGAAGCCGGGGCCTTGGCCTACCTGTGTTCCGCCTCACACTTTTCACTTCCGGATCCACTGACGCTCACTGGAGGTGAAAAGATAGAAATAGGGCAAATGCTTTTTCAATAATACTGTAGATTTTTATTCTCAATTGCCCAGAAAGACTGTGGATTTTATAGCACTCTCCTAGGTTCTCCAGAATGGGAAGCAAGGGATGAACAGGCATGAGGGCGTCAGCTGTGCTGGTGATACCGAGTAATGATAGAGCTGTGTCACCAAAGCACAGACAGCAGCGCTGAAAATGTGACCTCTAAGCTGCAGCTACTAGAACGCTGTAATGTGCTTGACAAGTTGACTGGGGTGGGGGTGGGGCGGGGGTGGGGTGGAGGTGGGCTGGGAAGGGGATATGGGAACATAGTGGAGCCACGTTGACACTGGTGGGATTGCTGTTGAAATATTACATGCCTAAAAGGCAACTATCAATAACTTTGTGAATCAGTTCTTTAATTTAATTTATTTTTTATTATTTTTTTATTTTTTTGCCTTTTGGGTCACACCTGACGATGCACAGGGGTAACAACTCCTGTCTCTATACTCAGGAACTATTCCTGGTCATGCTCAGGGGACCATATGGGATGCTGGGAATCGAACCCGGGTCGGCCGCGTGCAAGGCAAATGCCCTACCCGCTGTGCCATCACTCCAGCCCTAGTTCTTTAATTTAAAAAAATGGAAAAAAGGACTCTCTTAGGTTCTTTATCAAATGAATAAAAGAATGCCTCACTGTACTTGTTAAGCTATACATACATTTTTATAAACATCCTTTCATCTATTGGGTTATGTGCAAAATGAGAGATTCAACATTTGTGACTAAGAGCATAGAGTGTGGAAATAGACTATCTTGGTGAATGTTAACCTCTGGCCACATGACTTTAACCTCTCTGCCCCTCAGTTTCTCCTGGTATGTTAAATAGGGTGAAGAATAGCACCCTATTAACGGGGCCATTAAATGAGGAAACACAAGGGAAGCACATGGAGCAGCGTTTAGCACAATTGGGACTTGTTAATGTCAGCAGCATAGATGTTAATGTCAGGATTTGTTAATGTCAGAAGACCTCTAACATCCCTATGACCTCCCCCTGTTCTGCTGATAACCTTTGGTACTTCTTTCTGTGTGCGGCTCTTTGATGATTCCTGTTAGGTAGCCAAGATCACCTCTTCCCTAAATGTGAGAGCCCCAGTAGGATCACATAGTTAACCAGCATGACAGCTTTTGGGTGTGAATTTTATTAGTCCTGAGAATCATGTCTAAATTGTGAGAATATAGATGTACAAAAGGGATTGGTTTTTCTCCTGTCACTGATATTAAGAACCGTGGATACTTAGGGGTCAGAGAGAGTCCGGCAGGTAAGGTGTTGCCTTTAAGTCCAGCCTTGCATTCAGCTAACTCAGGTTTGATCTCCAGCACCACAAATAGTGCCCAAGGCCCACCAGGGATAAGCTCTGAGCACTGTCTGGGCCCACCCCCTTTAAGCACACAGACACCCTTCACCCCATATGGAGAATTTAAAAGCGACGACGACGATCATCCTGTTGTTCCTCGATTGCCTCGAGCAGGCCCCAGTAACGTCTCCTTTGTCCTAGTACTGAGATTTTTTAAAAAGTGCCATATTCAAGGCACTGTCAGGGTTAGGAGAATCAGCCCCATCATTGTTACTGGTATTTGGCATATTGGGTATGCCACGGGGAGTTTGCCAGACTCTGCCGTGTGGGCAGGTTACATTCGGTAGCCTGCCAGTTTGTCCAAAGTAGGAATGAGGTGATAAGATGTCCAGCTTCCGGGAGTTGGGTTTTATAGTCTCTGGATCTTGGCCGTTGATGGGATTACACGGCGCCAGGGGGCCAGTTGGTGGGTGTGACCCCTGCCTACTGGAATTTGGAGGATCTGGGTAGAGGATGCTCAGCCCCGATCCAAGGAGGCTTGGAGATCTCAGCCCCGGGACCCGCATGCCTTTGTTCCTCTGCCGGTATCTTCATGCATGTGGAGACACCCTTCACCCCATATGGAGAGTTTAAAAGCATCAGTTACAAATTTATATATATATATACACACACAGACACACACACATATAGGTCAAACCAAAATCAAATCCAAATATTGGATAGGTAGTATTAGCAGTTGACTCTTCCTGTCTTTTTGCTGTGAGGTTTGAGAAGCCTAGATATGTGTAGAAATCTTAAAGCAGTTGTTTCAGAATGAATTAAATGTCCAGTGGTAACATTGGGCATTAGTCAAGCCTTCCTTCCTCTGAAGCTGTAGCTGAGAGTTCCAGAATGACCGTGATAGATGCGCTGCAATCTCTGTGCTTGCCACCCTCCCTAATGCCACCGCTGTGCTTCTCCTTCAGGCAGCTCCTCTTGGTTGAGGTCATTCATTAAACTGGATGCACCATGATTTTCTTCTTCAAGAAGATCTCTGATAGATTTGCCTAGTTGTATTATTTGAGAGAAATGCACACTTCGAGTAGCTGTTACGAAAACATTTAGACTTCGTGTTGGGCCAAAGAGAAAGTACAGTGGGCAGGTGCTTGCCTTTCATACACCCTGCCCTGGGGGTTGATCCCTGGCACTATGTATGGCCCTCTGAGCACTGCCAGGAATGATCCCAGAGCTCAGAGTCAGAAAAAAGCCCTTAGCACAGCTGGGTGTGTCATCTCCCGCCACCCTCCCCGACACCTTGCCACCACCAGAAAAGAAAGAAAGAAAGAAAGAAAGAAAGAAAGAAAGAAAGAAAGAAAGAAAGAAAATTTCGATACTCAACAACAAGGCAAGGCAAAGACTATAATAACAGTGAATTGTTATTCTCAATTTTCAATTGCCTAAGGACAGTCTTTTTCTCCTGGATAGTAGCCCTATAAATCTATTTTTGGAAGAGAATATTTGCACGGCCTACATGTTTCGTATAACGGAGCTATCAAACTCTACCATGGTCTGTCTTAAAGTGATAGTAATGTAGCAGAATATCCAGAGTGATCATTCTGGCTATCCAGAATTCAGTTAGAACCTGGAAGG